TATACAGTTTTTTTGTTTTTACTGACCAGTAGTACAGCTAGGTGATATTGCCTTTTAATGGTATTTAATATTAATCTCAATATGTTTTTGCAGATTGGTAACACTGTAAAACAAAAAGTCTAATTTGTTAACAAGTTTGAAAAATGCATAATATCGGCCTGCCGATAAATCAGTCTGGCTCTAATATTTTCTATATATTGCATAGTTGTGCATAGTCAATTGTTTTATTTGTGATAACGCAATGAAGCATGCCCAATTGTGCACACATAATTTTAGACTAGGCTGTTTGTACAAAGAAATTATGAACATATGCAAAAACAAGAGAGAACCAACAAAATAGTCAATCACACTAAACCAGGCAGCGATTGCATCACATTCAAACATCCTTGCTTAAGCCATCTTTGATTACAGCTGTAGATAGAGCTTAATTTAACCAAACATCTACTTACGTATCTCGAACTACAGCTTGTGCTTAATCAAGACATCTATATTAAGGTTAAAGAGTGAAGAGCTGGTGTGAGATGAGACTCACGGTGGTTTACTCAGGAGAGAGGTTCAGTGTTTAAGTAAAGGAGCGTGAGACAGAAACATGAAACAGAAATTGTGATAGTCTTTTCTTCCCTATGAGGTGTATAATCAAATTAAATGGCGTATTGAACAAGAACAGAAGTAGGGCGGGACTTGATATTGTCCCTTGGGAATTGATTGGATCGTTGTGGTTTGCTATTGGTCGATTTCATGTGAGTGACAGGTTGTCCCGCCCTTGTGCCAGAAAGCACATCATCAGAAAAGTCGTTGCAAGAGAAGGGGAGGTTATTTTGATTAAACATATGCATAGATCAATTATTTAGAATAAATACTGCGTTTTGCAATATTACAATCAATTTTGATTTCAAGTTGATTAATTCAGAGTTTTTTTCCGAGATTTGTTTCTTGCAGATTCACGGTTCTACTTTAGACCGCAGTAAATCTCTTTGTTATGTGACCCAGAAGGGGAAATGGTCTCATACAGCTTTCCTTTGCTTTCTTCTGTCTGACACCCGATCACACACCATTATATGTTTGAATATGTGCAGTAATTTTTAATTTAATGCATATAAATGGAATTTACTGTTTGATTGAATTATAATTATCTTGCATTAGTGTCACTTTCCAATCCTGCTGATCTGATAAAGCAGTCAAAGTCAAACATATTACCCAGCACCTTACTGAGCTAAATCAGTGCTAAAGCGTTCTAGCCCGCAGTGACAAATAGCGGATAGACTTCGGTACATTTTATTACCCAATATGAGGAGGGAGAAAAAAAATAGAGTTCATTAACTCAGACACGGCCTGCAGTCTTTACAGTACAGCATGATTTAATCCACTATGGTTCTGCTGCACTGCAAAAATTCATCTCTTGAAAAGGCTACAGATCAGCGAGGAAGCAAAATCAATACATCGAGAAATCCCTTTAAAGGATTGTATAAAATACAAGAAGCTAGCATTTTTTTTCTGATGATGGTTTAAATGCATAACGAGTAGGATTTTGAGCATATTCTAGAAGCCTTTATATTATTAGGTTGTTTGACATTCGTTTTGTCCTTGGTATTTTTCCCCTTCACTCGCTCAGTAACCTCCACTTGTACAGTAAAATGTTTTTTACCTCAGTACTGGAGGCTGAACATTGGCGTAAGTGAAGTGAGGCGAATGGGGGTTGTGCTGATGTCACATGAATGGATGAAGTGTCCTCTGGAGACAGCTGAGAACGACATGACCTAGCGTATACCTCTCAAACTAAGAGTGTGCGCTTGCTGTTATAGTGTACTATAGCTTTTATTTTTGTCATTCTTGTCATTTTTAAAAAATATTTCTATTTAGCTTTAATTTATTTCTATTAGTTATTCAACCTAAAATTATTTTATTTTATTTATTTCAGTTTTATTTCAGTCAACAAAAATCATTTGTAAAAGTTTTAGTTAACAATAACAACACTTTTAAGTACTGTAGTATAATATTGTGTGGAAAAACATGTTATTTATGTAAAAAAAAATATATCATCAGAATTTTAACAAATTTGTTTTAATTGGCACAATAAAGGTTTGATTAGCTTTGGCCCTCGTTCAACATAAGTCTTTATTATTGTAATCTATGTTAAAGCATGCTAATCTCTTCACATCTACTAAAACATATCCTGTGTTTAAACACCCATAATCCAGACTGTTTTCATCCATAGAGGGGCTTAACTCTGTATCACGGCACTGGCACAAATGTGAAAAGCACAAAATCACCCTGAGCGTCTTTATTCTGATCCTGCAACCAGATGGCTAGCTGTGCAATCATGCTAATATTGGCCCCAACACACAAACATGGTTGCCTCCACCCAATCTCTGCATGATGGGATTACTTACATCAGAGTGAATAGGAGAGATCAGCCACAGAGCAGAAACAGCTACACAGGAATAGATTTCAGAAATCTCAATGATTTGCTGTTCATTTAACATTGTCTGAAAGCTGCACAATCTTGGCATCAGAACAGAGAGGAGATTCTGAAGATATACAGATTCAATTTGCTGCCGTAGCAAACGCTGTCTCTGCAGCATCTGATAGCGTCATAGCTTCCCAGTCTGCAACAAATGCACTATAGAGGGAATGGGATGGAAGCGTTTCCGCCACAGAATTCATTGTTTTTAAACTTTATATCTCACAAGTCTTTTTCTCTCACAATTGTGAGTTTGGATCTCGCAATTCCGACTTTTTTCTTTCAATTGAAATTTGATGTCTCGTAATTCTGACTTCTTTTCTCAGAATAGCATGATATAAATTCACACTTGCGTGTTATAAAGTGCAAGAAATAGCAGTAGCACCTTATTGCAGTACCTGAGATCAAGTGGGCAGCGTTGGATCCAGATCTTAGGGGTGGAGATGGGTAGGATTAGGGGTGGGGTTAGGGATCGGGGGCGGAGAGGAGTAGGATTGGGGTGGGGTTAGGGATCAGGGGCGGAGATGAGTAGGTTTAGGGGTGGGGTTAAGGATCAGAGAGCAGAGATGAGTAGGTTTAGGGGTGGGGTTAGGGATCAGGGGGCGGAGAGGAGTAGGATTGGGGTGGGGTTAGGGATCAGGGGCGGAGATGAGTAGGTTTAGGGGTGGGGTTAGGGATCAGGGGGCAGAGATGAGTAGGTTTAGGGGTGGGATTAGGGATCAGAGGGTGGAGATGGGTAGGATAATGGGTGTGGTTAAGGATCAGGGGCAGAGATGAGTAGGATTAGGGGTGGGGTTAGGGATCAGGTGGTGGAGATGAGTAGGTTTAGGGGGAGGGTTAGGGATCAGGGGGCAGAGATGAGTAGGTTTAGGGGTGGGGTTATGGATCAGGGGGCGGAGATGAGTAGGTTTAGGGGTGGTGTTATGGATCAGGGATCTGAAATGAGTGGGTTTAGGGGTGGGGTTATGGATCAGGGGCAAAGATGAGTAGGATTAGGGGTGGGGTTAGGGATCAGGGGCGGAGATGAGTGGGTTTAGGGGGGGTTTGGATCAGGGATCTGAAATGAGTAGGTTTAGGGGTGGGGTTAGGGATCAGGGGCAAAGATGAGTAGGATTAGGGGTGGGGTTAGGGATCAGGGGCGGAGATGAGTAAGTTTAGGGGTGGGGTTATGTATCAGGGAGCAGAGATGAGTAGGTTTAGGTATATGTACTATGGATTTCATGTTCTGCAGTGCATCTCAGAAATAAACTCACAATTGGGAGAAAAAAATCTGAATTTTGATTTTAGCTCACAATTGTGATTTTCTCTCAAAACCTGTGGACTTTATATCTGAGAACCTGACTTTTGTATCTCCCAATTTTGTCTTTTCGATTGTAATTGCAACTTTATCTCAGAATCTAACCTTATTTCTGTAATTGGGTGGGCAATGTTTCATAAGACCCATCCAGTCCCACCCCAAATGTTAATTTTACCCACATGACCAGATGAGCTGGATTTCACAAATTCCTTTTCAGAAGTCAGTGTTTTTATTGAGAGACACCAAGCATAGTCAGGCCCATGTGTAATAATAAGGACAGAATGGACACACACATACAGTATAGAGCAGGTGATAAGATGATAAATGGAGTGATAGAAGGATATACCTTGTATACACATTGTGTCATCACCAATGCCTTCATTTTTTGATTGTGTAAGATATTCGTTTACTCACATCAACATTCAGTAAACGAACACACAAGCTGCTTCCTGTCACATATAACAGTGTTTTTTTGTATGATGCGGACACCACCACAAACATACATTCAAACATGCTGCCCTTAACTGCCTCATGATTGGATGTCCTATGCTGGTCTAAACTGTCAAAGAACTCTTTAATTAAATGAAGTAATAAGTGTATAAGTTTGGGGTTAGTAAGATTTGGTTTGAAATTAAATTAACTATTATTCATTAAGGATGCATTAAACTGATAGTCACAGCAAAGACATTTATAATGTTACAAAATATTTTGGTTTCGAATAAATGCTATGTTCATAAAAAATCATTTAAAAAAAAAAATCACGGAGCACAGTTTCCACAAAAAAAATATTAAGCTGCTCAACTTCTGTTAACAGCAAATCATCATATTAGAGAATGATTTCTGAAGCATCATGTGACACTGAAAACTGTTATGGCTGCCAAAAAAAAATCTGCTTTGTCATCAGAGGAATAAATTACAATTTAAAATATATTAAAATAGAAAACTGTTATTTCAAATTGTAATAACATTTTACTTTTTTTTAACTGTATTTTTGATCAAATAAAGCAATTTTGGTGAGCATAAGAGTCTGCTTTCACAAAAACATTTTTTTTAACAACCAGTAAGTAGATGCTACTTACACTTAAAAGGTGTGAATATTGATATTCACATAAAATGAAAAATTTGAATTATTTAATTGCACATATTTGCACTTGTGTAAATGAATAATGACAGACGTGATAATTACCGAAATTTGAGATGTGTATGAAACACTAATATCTGAACTGTTCTTCTCCTCTGCAGAGATTATGAATGATGTCATCAAGAAGGTGAAGAAGAAGGGAGAATGGAAGGTAATACAAACTCATTCACCCCATCACCATAGCAATCACACTCTCTTTGTCACGACATCACAGTTTTAATCATTCATTGAGTCCCTAAGCCGCAGACCAGGAAATCTATGTAATAATAAAGCCCAAATTGTTTAATCCATTTTTTTTGTGTTACTCCTGTGCATTTAATGCATGCTTTTCAGTGTCTGCATAAGCAGAGTGGTACTACATAGATGCATTACTGTTTCTCTCATCATTTCTCAAACTAACCTACAGTCGTTCCGCGCATTACAAAAGAGAGCATTATTAATAATGTTGGATATCATCGGTGCCGATAGCCTTGTGAGCAAGTGCGCCGACATGTATCGCCATTGTGCTTGGCGCAACCCGAGTTTGAGCCCCGGTTCCTGATCCCATCCCTCCTCGTTCTCTACCTCACTTCCTATCTAGCTGTCCTATCCTAATATCCAAAAATGCAAAAAAAAAATGTCTTTAAATGATGTTGGATATCAGGAACAGACCAATTTATAATTCTTACAGTCACATACGTATATTGAAGTATTGAAGTTCATTGATATAGTTAAATTGAAGACGGCACAAGTCATGTTCAAAGCACAGTAATCGATTTTTCGGAAATTTACAAAAAAAAAAAAAATGATGGAAAGTCAGAGTGGGTATAGCTTGAGAGAAGAATTAAACTTTAAAAAACTTATAATTAGAACAACTCTAAAAAGTATGTGCATCACTATTTGTGGGGTGAGGTAAATGTTTGGTTGGTGTTAAAAATTATGGTATGTTTGTTATCTTGCTATGAATATAAAATTATATATATATATATATATATAGGCTATAATTATTGTGAACATATTGTAATTATTGTTTTAATAATTTATAGATATTGTTTTTATTCTTTTCGGTATGTTGCAACATACTCGTACATTTTATTTTCTTTGTATCTTTTTTTGTGTTGTTCAAAATAAACATAAATAAATGACATTTCTGCTCTCTATTTTTGTCTATAGGCTTTGATAGTGGACCAGCTCAGCATGAGGATGCTGTCCTCTTGTTGCAAAATGACTGATATTATGACAGAGGGCATCACTAGTAAGTCACTTTTTTGAATTGTTTTCTCACAAACAACTAAAAAAAAGTGTTGCCAACAACTAGCCTACACAAAAAGATTCTGAAAAACTCGATTTAGAACTGATCACTTAGCCTGAAACCTTTCATATAAACGCTGGGAAATGATGGCCAGATGGAAATAAACCCAACCTTTCATAAGCTAAGCACTCATATGTCACTGAATATATCTTCAAACGAACAGATCTGGAATGCATCACATTAAATTTAATTAAGGTTACAAGTTGTTGTGCTATATTATGAATAAGTCCTAGCTAAAGGGAGTTGTTAGGCATGGCATACAGTTGCAACCCCCTTCAGCTCTGAATATATTCATAATAGTTGTACAAACGACATCTTAAAAAACAGGATTACATTCTCAATCATAAACCTTACTAACATCGGCTAAGCAGTGTTCTGGAACGAAGCAGTTTAAGCTAGGCACCGTATGTGACTCGACTTCTGAGACTTGATTTCAATAATTTGGCTAAAATGAGGTGTGGAAATGTATTTTAGCTTTCTTCCACCACGGAATAAACATTTTAAAAGGTAATTCCGACCATTTATTGCACAATTCTGAAGATATAAACTTGCAATTGTGAGGAAAGAAAGTCAGAATTGTGAGAAATCTTTTTTAATTGCAAGTTTGTATCTCAGAATTTTGAGAAAAAAGTCAGAATTAAGAGTAAAAAGTCACAATTGTCTTTGTTAATTGTGAAGTTTGTATCTCACAATTCTAGTTCTCATTTGTCGGTTCTTGTTAATGCTTACAGGAATGTTCAGTGTGGTGTAGTCAGTGGTGTAGTTCTCTCTCCGTTAATAAAGTCTGTTCACGTTTATCTTCGTCTTTTGCGTCATACCTACACCACACTCAGTGTGACAGGTGCAGTACCGAAAGTTTCCACTAGATGAAATTAGCTTCCCATTCTTTTCCAATGCAGTCATTTTTGACCGCGAGCTGTATAAGTGTGACTATTTTTTTTCAGGACCATTTTATCTTTTCAAATCATGTCCATCATTTTTTTTTCTGGTGTTTTCATAACAAGTACCAAAACCTTTACCGAGTTTGGTATCATTCTGATGAAGTAAAAGATTATAAAAAAAACAAAACAGCACCAGAGGGTTAATAATATTACTGTTATTACTAGTTAATAATACTGTTATTCATATTATTATATTTTTATTACAGTTAAATTTTATTACATAGTTCTTTCTTACATAGTTTAATTTTAGTATAACATTTAAATGTGTTATTTAATTCGTTTTATATTTGTTTACTTTTTTCTTGTTAGTAATTTTAATGCTTCAACTGAACTTCATTTCAGTTATTTGTTTCCATTTTTGTTTAGTTTAATTTTTTTCATCTAATATTTAAATTTAATTTCTGCTTTATTTCAATTAAAATAAAAGGATAATTATAAAAAACCCTTTATCAGCAGAGCTACTTCTGTGACCTATTAATGTTTCTTTCTTCATCTCTGCAGTTGTTGAAGACATCAATAAGCGAAGAGAGCCTCTCCCCTCTTTGGAGGCCATTTATCTGATCACCCCGACTGAGAAGGTACTCACACATGATGATTTCAGAAGACACTAATAAAGCCAAATAACAGCTCCAGAGTATATACGTTTGTCTCACAGCGTGGAGGCGGAACCTTCACACTGTACACACTAAACATATGTCTCTCTCTAACACATACACAAATCACACAGTACTATTGACACAGCCTACACAAACAGCTGAAAATCGTGTCATGTTTATTAGCCATTGTGGTTGCTATAACAACACGCACACGTACACACACTCTTATCTAAAGCTTGTTGTATTTCTCTTACCAGTCTGTGCAGACTCTCGTCAATGACTTCAAAGATCCCCATTCAGCGAAATATAAAGGGGCTCATGTGTTCTTCACTGACTGTGAGTATATGAGGGTACTCCACTGTACATCAAGGGCCCTGGAAGCATAATATACACTAAAGTATTAATGGGACCACGCTCAAATCTAGACTACCACACAAGCACTCAGCCAGACACTTTTATAACAACAGATATGTGTATAGTCTCACAGATATGCATTTTTTAAACAACAGACATATAGTCTCACAAGTTCTGAGTTCATTTCTTTCTTTGTTCAAAAATAAAATGATATAAGATAAAATTATAAATTAAGTTCTCAATAACACATACACAACTTAATAAATAAATTAGGGCTGTCAAACGATTAATCGCATCCAAAATAAAAGTTTGTGTTTACATAATGTTTGTGGGTGCACTGTGTATAATTCTTTTGTATATATATAAATACACACATGCATGTATATTTAAGAAAAAATATAATTTTTTATATAAAATATTTATATTTATTTATAATATAAATTATATATAAACCTATATACAGTATATACATTAAATATTTCTTAAATATACACAAGCATGTGTGTGTGTTTTTTTATATATAAAATAATTATACACAGTGCACCCACATACATTATGTAAACACAAAATTTTATTTTGGATGTGATTGATTGCGATTAATCGTTTGACAGCCCTAAAATAAATAAAATAAAAACAGCATACATTTGTTTAAAAAAATAAAAAATATTTATATATAAAATGAATCACATATATTTGGCTGCAATATTTACACAAATACAGTACATATACATATATATATAAAGTATAAACAGTTGTAATAAAAATGATTCAACCCCCATTTGCAAATCAGGTTCACTGGCTGTTAATAATTTCGATTACAACTGTATATGAAGAGTTCAGATGCAAAAGCCTCTAACTGCCATTTGAAATTTTCTTCTTTAATGATGATTTTTATCAAACTTGTATATTTAAGTTCAGTAATTTCACTTAAATAACAATTAATAGGTAATTATCATTGCCATTTAAGTGAAATCACTGAACTTAAATATACAAGCTTGATAAAAATTATCATTCTAGAAGAAAATTTCAAATGGCACTTAGAGGCTTTTGCATCTGAACTCTTCATATATACAATATATATGTATGAATATACTCAAATACTTTTAGGTAATGTATAACGAATATTTATGTAATGTATAACAATTATTGTCAGAATTACACTACACAGCTTTCACGGCTCAAAATGACATGTCAACTACCCACGTGTCTCTTACAGCTTGCCCTGACCCCCTGTTTAATGATGTGGTGAAGAGCCGTGCCTCAAAAACCATTAAAACCCTAACTGAGATCAACATCGCCTTCCTGCCCTATGAGTCCCAGGTGAGCAATTTCGGGAGTGGAGAGGAAGAGAGAGAGAGAAAAAAATAATGACAGTCCATATAGAGACTCCAGAAGCAACTCAGTGATTGTAGAAATAGAGTGTTCCAGAACAGCTCTGAGGCATGGGGGATGCGGCCTGGCCCACAATGCTTTGCTGCTGAGGCTGTCTGCTATGATTAATTCAGTGGAGTCAGAGGAGCAGTGCGTGATGCCGCAGCTCAATGCTTCGTGAACACGCCTCGTTCAGCACCACGTAATTGGCCGATGCAGCATCCACCGAGAGCCTCGGCCAATCAGAGGAGGTTATGAGAGGAAACGAGGATGAAGGGGAACCCATCTGCTGAACAGAAGGATCGTCATGTGACCTTGTGTGTGCCGACAGGGGGTGTTTGTGTAGGCCTATATAGATAAACTGTCTGCTACAGTCAGAGAGATATAACACAGATTCGGCCAGAGGAAAGACTTTGATCCCTCGTACCAGTTTGGAAACACTAAGTACAGAGAAGCACATTTTGTGGCATTTCTGTCAAAATCACACTGTCATTAAATTATTTAGAAATATACTTAATGGGGGAGGGGGGCATATACACTACTGTTCCTAATATATACATTTAAAGAAATTAATACTTTTATTCAGCAAGGATGCATTAATGTATTGCTTCTTGAGCAGCAAATCAGAATATTAGAATGATTTCCAAAGGATCATGTGACACTAAAGACTGGAGTAATAGATGCTAAACAATCAGCTTTGCCATCCCCGGAATAAATTACATTTCAAAATATATTAAATGAGAAGACAGTTGTTTTAAAATTACATTCATTAATTGAATGTGTTTTATGTGCCCTAAATGGCACATAAAAAAAGCAAAAAGTAACTAAAACATAAAAAAGGCAAAATGTCAGCTTGTCCACAATACTGCTCTATCAGTAATGACTATGTGTGTGTGTGTTTAGGTGTTCTCCTTGGACAACCCTGATGCCTTCCAGAGCTTCTACAGCCCTCATAAGACACAGCTGAAGAACCCTGTGATGGAACGGTTGGCCGAACAGCTGGCGACTCTGTGTGCCACGCTGAAGGAATACCCTGCCGTCCGATACCGAGGGTAAGGCACGAGGGACTCTATCGGTGCCGAGTCTTGAACTAAGGCTCTTTATATCTGACCTGATGTTCCTGCCCTTTCACATATGCAATCATATTTATCCAACACATATACAGTTACAACAGGAACTAGTGGACAAGACAGATAGCAGTCACCTCTGGATCAGATTCCAGGAAGTGGCTGCTTGTCAGGATCAACAGAGCTGTCTAAAGTTCGGCCTGTCTATCTGCTCTAATGCTCTGATTCTCTGTGCACAGGGAGTATAAAGATAACGCCACCCTGGCTCAGTTGCTTCAAGACAAACTGGACGCCTACAAGGCAGATGATCCCACAATGGGGGAGGTGAGCGGCACATCTCAGTTACTAAACTGCAGGAGATGATACGTGTACTGGAATATGCTGATACATGCACAGGGGGAACAGAGAAGCTTCCAGTGGGTTCTCGGAAAAATTTAGATTTTGTTAAACCCATAACAGAAGAAATGATGACTCACAAATATTAGATTAAACTTTGACAGCATGCACAAAATTGGCCAATATTAACCCTTCACTGCCCTGGTCTCTCTTATCCACTGGTCTAGTGGATAAGACACATGCCTTTGGTGTGAGAGACCCGGGTTCAAATCCAATGTGAGACACGAATGTGTCCCTGAGCAAGACACTTAACCCCTAGTTTCTCCAGAGGCGTGCGACCTCTGACATATATAGCAATTGTCAGTCGCTGGTGGATAAAAGCGTCAGCTAAATGAATAAATGTAAATGTCTTGCTGTGAACGGATGGCCACGTACATATGCGGGAGTGAATCCCCTAAGTAATTGTGTGTCTATAGATCAAGACCTACTCTCGAAACTGCGATGGTCGACACCATGGGAAACCATATCAACCTTCTGGTGTTTCGTGTGTTTGGCATCCGCTATTCTGACCATACAGTGACAAAAAACTCGTTATGTTCAGCAATTTTAAGTAAAGCATAGTCAACGGAGGCGTCGTGTTTTGCTTATGCTTGGAAAGGCTGCTTCATGCAACACGCTCTTGCAGTGTTGCCATGTTCACTAATTATAAGCTGTTTTGGGCTTGTTGTTTAAACTTGGCTCATAAAGCGATTGAGTTTATGGAGTTATTAAAGTTAGCAGGTACGGATTGCAATATTTTGGTCTTATTTTCAGCATAAAGCATTTGTTTGGCTGTTTTTATAGCAAGATCTGGCAACACGAATGAGTCCAGGCTCCTGCAGAGAAACTGTTCTGATGCATGTTAAAATATCATTAACAACTTTTTTTCAATGTCACTCCTGTAAATTGCTGAACTGTGTGTATATAGAACAGGATTGGGCACTAAAAAGTGATTCTGCAAGTACGTGACCATTGATTTGGGTTGGAATCATGTAATGCCAAAGAAAAAAAATCTTCCTTTGCGTAATATGTACCAAAATGTAATTCTTCCTCTGAAGGGACTTCACAATTTCCATATTGAGAAGCTTTGCTTATGTCAGCTTCATTCCTGGCCACATAATTATGTTTGTTGGTGGCTTTGTTAATCTAAAAGTGTCTTGTGGTGAACAACAGTAGATTTTTAGACATATTCTATCTCTCTGCAGGGACCAGACAAGGCTCGCTCTCAGCTCATTATTCTGGACAGGGCTTTCGATCCCGTCTCTCCTGTCCTGCACGAGCTCACCTTCCAGGCTATGGCCTATGACCTGCTGCCCATTGAGAATGATGTGTACAAGTGAGTAAAAAAAATCTAAAATAAATTTGATATAACAAATATTTTTGGCAATCTATTTATATATTAACATGTATTTTCAAATAATATTTACTAAAATATTAACCTATTATATTATTATAATACATATATTATATATAATATATATATATATATATATATACGATATATATATATATTATATAAAATTATACATTGTTTAATACTTTATATACAAATACTTTATATAACCAATCCTTTTCGATTAACAAGAGAATACATTGAATAAATGTATAAACATTTAATATATGTAGAGATAATCTATAAATATATAATATATAAATATTTGTTTGATTTGTATCTGGTAGGTATGACACCAGTGGGATAGGTGACTCAAAAGAGAAGGAAGTGCTTCTGCATGAAGATGACGACCTTTGGGTGAATCTTCGGCACAAACATATTGCTGAGGTCTCTCAGTGAGTAAAACCTTACGTTTTTGACTGTAAGCTCTGGTGTTCTTGTAATATTCTTGGTCTGTAAGTGTTCTCTCCCTCCTTTTCTCATTTCCCTCGCTGGCAGGGAGGTGACACGCTCCCTGAAGGAATTTTCTGCCAGTAAGCGGATGACCACTGGAGAGAAGGTACGCAGGAGTCTGGCTGAGGGGGGAGGGGCCTGGAAGAGAGAGAAAAAAAATGAGGAGTAGAAAAGAGAGAACAGTGTAGTGTGGGCGAGGAAGGATAGCCTGGCGGATGAGATTGTGTTGGCAGCCCAATCTAAAGCGTGATGGCTGACTCATGTGAAAGCACTACAGCAGGATTAGTATTGATTGACTTACTGACACAGCACAAGCAAACAGACATGGACACACACATTTCTGCTGTGACGTACTATCTGCAATTACAGTGTATAATTAGGGTGATCAGATTTCTCATGGTGGAATACGGGACGGGATGTACAGGTACTACAACACTAGCATGCACACATATTGCTGATAATTGCTGATTTCCTACACATGCTACAAGAAATGCTAATCCCTAACCCTAATCTTAAAGGGATACTCCACTTTTTGTTGGAAATAGGCTCATTTTACAACTCCCTCAGAGTTAAATAGTTGAGTTTTACCGTTTTTGAATCAATTCAGCCTATTTTCTGATATTTAGAAGAATATCTGTAACCAGACAGTTTCTGGTCTCATTGACTTCCATAGTAGGAAAAAATATATACTATGGAACTTGAAGACCAGAAACTGTCTGGTTATAGATATTCTTCTAAATATCAGAAAATCGGCTGAATTGATTCAAAAACGGTAAAACTCAACTATCTAACTCTGGGGGAGTTGTAAAATGAGCCTATTTCCAAAAAAAAAGTGGAGTATCCCTTTAACCAATGAAATTGACTGCAGGGTGTGATTTGCGCTGAATAGCATGCAAAAGAAAATGGCAGTTCAGGAGATAAGCTGTTAAGATGATCCTACGAAATGAAATCGCTGAGCGGGGCCGTGTGTAACTCCCCAACCGGTCCTCACCTGACAATGGGGCTTTTTAGTTGCATCAGCATCTCTGCCCCATTATACCCTGTGAATCTCAAATCCTGGGACACCGCCGTCCAAATTACAACTTTTTCACATGTAAAAATAACTATTTTTGATCAAGTAGAAATGTAATTTACAATTATTATTATTTTTTTTAAATCTAATTCAATGACCAGAACCATTGGCTCAAGTCTTTACGTGTGGAGAACCCACTCTTTTTTTGGAGTTCACGCCTCATTTTAGAGATCTGCAGCTATACCTACTTGGAAATACAGGACTGTACTGGAAAAACAGGGCGTCTGGTCACCCTAATCTAATATAGTATAACAGCTTTTATGGCTCAGTGGATCTGGGTCGCGTCTGACCTCTGCTTTAGCTGACCTTTCTGAGAAAATCCTTTGTTTCTTTCAGACCACCATGAGGGATTTGTCTCAAATGCTGAAGAAGATGCCCCAGTATCAGAAAGAGCTCAGCAAGGTGAGAGAAGTCACAGGAGATGTGCATTCTGCCAAACAGGAGACACCTCATGGGAATTGCAGTTCTAATATTTACCTTATTGACCCCTTAAAATGTGTCCCTTTAGTACTCAACCCATCTGCAGTTGGCCGAGGACTGCATGAAGCACTACCAGGGAACCGTGGACAAGCTGTGCCGTGTAGAGCAGGTACAATTTCACGCCCAGGCATCACTGCCACAGAATGAGGGGGGTCTGTGAAAAATTTGAGAGAAAAACAGTCAACGTTTCTACTTTAGAAATTAATAAAATAAGTTTTCACAAAATTATTTAAACATTCACATTCACCAAATGTGATTAATATTGTTAACATTTAATTCTGAGATTTATTGCAATGATTTTATTTAAAACTAGTGCTGTCAAATGTAAGAAAAATGTATCTACACAAAAATTATTTACCATATTATTTTAGTACAATGAGGCAATTATTGGTAATGTATAAACAATTATTTAATTTTATTGCCTTTATTATATATATATATATATATATATATATATATAAAGCGTGGCCTGTTTCTTGTTAGTTTGTTACAATTTATTTGGTTTGCCTGCTTTCTGCAAAGTCTGGTACGTGAAATAACATTATATAAATTTACACATAATATTGATGATTGTTGCCATAAAATCCTGATTTTAAATGGCCTAATAAACCAACTAAAATTGCAACTGTATATTCATGAATATATTTTAGGACACATTTTATTTAGTAATGAGACTGATTAACTTGACTGTAATAGAAGAGCGTGTCTAAAGCTGTGTGCCAACTTGACAACTTGCCACTGGTTATGATTTAACTAAAATAATGAGGTGCAAACCATGGTTTTACCTGTAGTTGTCTGGTTAAACTAGGGTTACTATTCAAGAACTATGGGAAATTTATTGCGAGGGAAAGCACAAGTATCTGCCATTTCGAATTTATAGATTTAATTATGTAATTCGAATGGCGTATATTTTCTACATGGTACTAAATGTATTGCTATTGATACTAAAAGCATCAAGGTAATTTCTGTTTTTATTTACGTCCTTTGAGCATAATTTATTAACTGCGCTCTATCACCTGGCAGGATCTCGCTATGGGAACAGACGCAGAGGGTGAAAAGATTAAAGACCCCATGAGGGCCATCGTGCCAATCTTGCTGGATGCCAACGTCACCACTTATGACAAGATCCGCATCATCCTGCTCTACATTTTCCTGAAGAACGGTTAGGGGGTCTTTGGCAGCCATTTTATACCTCAGTTTGCATTTTATTGCCTTGATCAGCCATTTTGTAAAGCGACATCTGTGTGCATGTGTGGCAAAACAGGGATCACGGAGGAGAACCTTAACAAGCTGATCCAACACGCCCAAATTCCTCCTGAGGACAGCGAGATCATCACCAACATGGCTCACCTGGGTGTCCCAATCGTCACAGATGTGCGCTATCCGCTTCCTGTCTTAAGCAACGATTAAATATCACTGGCTGTTAAAACATTTTACAGTTCATCTGACTTGCCATTGATTTCTTTTGCTTTGTTTCTGCAGTCTACTCTCCGCAGAGGCAAGAAGCTCGATCGTAAGGAGCGCGTGAGCGAGCAGACCTATCAACTCTCTCGCTGGACCCCGCTGATCAAGGATATCATGGAGGTAAGTCCTGATCTATAGAATTTGAAGAAAAACAAAACATGCGTGTAAAAATGTGACCTTACTTTGATTGTGAATCTTACAGGATGCTATTGAGGAGAAGCTGGACACCAAACATTACCCGTACATCTCCACACGCTCATCCTCTTCCTTCAGCACTTCTGCAGTCAGGTACGCACGCTCACCAAACTTTCCCACATCCCACAGGAAGTTGACCTCCAAATAAAATACATTCAGCTAGTTTTGTTCATTGAACAAAATAAGAAAGAACAGATGATTTTTTTATGTTTTGCTTTGTAAACCTGCTTCATGTTGTTTGGGTCCATTTAGAAGACTTAAAAAAAAAAAAAATCAGACATACTGTACTACAGCATTCTGGGAAATTAAGTGTTCTTCCATCATGTTGCATAAAATAAGTTAAAAAAAATATTTACAAAAGAATGTATTAAAATGTCTAAAATTAAAATTGAATAATATTTTATAATAATATATAATAAAAGTTACTACATATTATAAAATGGTAATAAAATACTTTTCTAATAACTTCTAATGTTTCTGGGAATACCTTATATTTTGTGTATATGATGTAATTATGTTATAGATGCTTCACTGATAACTAAAATGGTATTTTTGTTTTATTTGATGGGTAACGCTTTACAATAAGATTAATTACATTATTTAACATGAACTAACTATAAAAAGTTAATGTTAATTTCAACAGTTACTTAAATTTTAAAAAACAAACAGTTACTTAAATTTTTAAAACAAAATTTTTATATTATTTAATGGTCTGGAGCAATCAACTTACATTAATAGTTGTTTTTTTACTAACTAATATAAAAAAAGATTACCCATTGCCCATTGTTATTTAAAGCATTAACTAGCGTTAACAAATGAGCCCTTATTGTAAAGTGTTACCATTTTATTATTTTACCATATCATGATCAATTATATAAAAAATTTTACTCTTTATTTTAAGGTGACATAGTTGCATTGTACTCACTTAGATAAATACTGAGTAATATTAATTAACTACATATACTTACAGTTACTTAGAGTTACAGTTAAGGTTTTGTTTAGGATAAGTCACTTGTAATTATCCATAATTTACTCTTATTACTATAGTAAGTGCATGTAGTAACGTGTACTGCAACTACGTCACCTTAAAATAAAGTGTAACCAAAATAAATTAATCATTTTTAAATGAATAAATAACTATACTTCCAGCAGTTAAAGTAATTCCTTTAATTGCCAATATTTTAAACACTTTACAAACAAGCCAATTCTAACACACGCACACACATAACCCCATACACAGGTGAATAGATGCATTTTTGTATTGGACAATTCGCAAGATAGAAGTAACTTGGATCAGTAATCATTTGTACAGAGGGGTGGGGAGAACATTGAGATCAATACCGTGATTGGTGGGTGGTGCGACATGCGGAGGGGGTGGACATCAAGTCGCTTTTTAAAAGAAGCGGAGACTGGGATATTTCCTCAGGGTCAGCTGTAATGATCCCGGAACGCTGTTCTGGTTTCAGGACAAACAAACCAGCATAGCTCCTGTAGCATAGCTCCTGTAAAGAGTAACAGAGACACAGCAGAAAATCCCCGACTCCCCGGCTGGTGGGTCCCATTGTGTAGCTATTGATTGGACTCGAGATCACCAGTGTTCACTACGCATTTTCAACTCTCATTATGCTTGAAAATGACAAAGCGCCTCCTCATCCTTCCACTGTAGAAAAATACTGGCAAAATATCACTGTATCAAGGTCCCGCCCACATTCCCAATTGCAAACACAGCTGTCAATCATGAAGTTTTGCATTTTATAGCATCATCTAACTAACTAAAACCGAACATTGTGTAAAACACATAGAGCAGTCTCTAACTGCTGCCACTAGAATGCCATAAATGGTACTGCAACAACAGATACCTTTTGAAAAAAGAAACTGTACCTTGAAGCTGACATGCATTTAATGTGTTTTTCCCATGGCAGTGCCCGATATGGCCACTGGCACAAGAATAAAACCCCTGGAGAGTACCGCACAGGCCCTCGCATCATGGTCTTCATCATCGGGGGCGCGTCCTTTAGTGAGATGCGCTGTGCTTATGAGGTCACACAGGCCAATGGCAAATGGGAGGCCATCGTTGGTAAGTCTGCAGAGGATACTGCTAAAAATCGCTGTAAATTCAAGAGTTATTAAGCAACCACCCTTTAATGCCTTAGATTGATACCTTCAGCTTTAACTATACATGTGTAATCAGACTGGCAAATTTGTCTTGTATATTTTTCCTGTGCTCTTGTCTTGTATTTTGTGCTTGTCATGTTTTAACTGGTTTTAAATTACAGTCGTGAGCCTCTGCTGTGTTCATAAGTCTGTGTTCGTAAGTTCTTCTGTGTGTCTGTTTTGTGTGTGTGTGATAGGGTTTATGCTTAAGATGTGCAGTTGTGTTTAGAATCGTCTTTTTATCGTACCTTTAAGGATTATGGCAGCCAATACAAATATTCACGTTAAGGTCGAATCAGAGTCGCTAATTGGTGTTTCTACCTGACCGTGAGTTTGTGTATAATTTCTCAAACGCTCGCGACATTAAAATGATCGACTTTTGGTCACCCTGTCGCTGCAAAAACGCCCCTTTAAAGGTTAATTCTGAACTACTGTACGTCATTTTTGTTAAACTTTATCTGTCGGTTGTTTTCCAGACGAAAACTCGCATTGAATTTCTAATCGTTGGTATTGTACGAGTTATACAATTTTGTCCGAGCATGAGGCCTTTATCGGTTTCTAAAATGAACAGTGCAGTTGGAAGACCTCAGTGAGACAATTGTTTACCAATTGTAAATCTTTGTGGAAAAAGTTACTATACATTTAGTTGATAAAATGAGTTGCAGAGGTTTCCTTCGTATACATCCACACAGAGCTTCCAAAAAACATTTTTGTCAGGGTTCTAGGTTAATATTTCTGAACCATCAGGATCTACAGATTTTAACCCTCTTTTGTCCCCATAAAGATTAGCGGTGGTGAAAGAACGTGAGGTGCGGTGTGAGATTAATTCTGAGCGTGAAGCCACCTTTGTTCCTCCGCAGGTTCTACTCACTTGCTCACCCCAACCAATTTTCTAATGGACCTGCGGCACCCCGACTTCCGAGAATCCACTAAGGTGTCCTTTGAGGACCCTGACCCCTCAGAAGAGTGAGACAGAGAAAGAGGGAAGGGTGGGAGAGAGAAATCACACTCTGACAAAGTAAAGGCAGCCGAACAAAGAAACCCTTTCTGAACCCCCACAGCACAAGGGCTTTCTTTTCTTGCTCCTGTTACCACACTCTACCGTTTTATAACGCCACCACGCCTCAGGGATGGGTGTCCGGCCCCTGCCTCACTGAAAAGCTGACCTGCGAGTCTCATTCAGGCTCCGCCTCCTATTGGGACCAGTCAATATGAATCTGTCTTGATTGGCTGACTGAATGCCCCATTCAGAACTGCAGTGGGCGGAGCCTTTTTGAGTGACAGATGCAGTAGGGGTCCTGACCACATCCCTGTTGACCACATCCTCTCAGTTGGGTGGATTAAACTGCGTTCTCCTCACTACGCGCCTTTTAATTCAATGGAGCCTCCTCTTCCGACGAGGAAGGGCTTCCTCCATTTGCCCTCCCAAATTTTAAAGCTTCATTTTCCCGCAGATTTAATCTACCCTCAAGACTTCCCATATTTCCGATTATTTCTGAATAACAATCCAAGGCAATCACTCATATTAACTTTGTTTTTGTTTTCCAACTATGGAGAGGTAATTGTTGGATGCCAATTGCAGGATAATTTGCTTTTGTTTTTAAATCTACCAGTTCCTCAAACTACCTCACATCACGTCTACATGACCAAGTGGCCGTCTGCAAAGAATTAAAATTATTTCTGCCAGAGAGCGACTGGCTCTTTTTTTTTCTGTATAATTCTTCTGCAGATGCCAAAGCTTGAAATGTAGCTGTGCTCTTCAGATATGCTTTAGCACTAACGCTTCCCCCAAATGCTAACCTTTTAAAACTAACTGGTTTGGGCCCTGGCTATGTCATTTCATGTTATGCCTCAGGTACTGTTTTCTGCATTCAAAAAATACTGTAGTAAATCGCTGATTATAAAGCTGACCAAGTCATATATCATAATTAGTCAATAAGACTACTGGTTAATGACTGATACTGTTTTAAACAAGCTTAGCAACACTTTATATTACAGCACTGTAATTCCTGTGCAGGCTTGTGGTTACATTACGTGTTATAAATGACTCATCTTTGCTCTTCTAAAAATTTTCTGGGTTAAATACAAGTTTATGTCTGGCTCTTGCGACTTGTTTGTAAGAACTCGCTATACACTCGTTTGCGATGGAAGTCTATGGGGTATTGCATCGTAACAATGTTCAAATACACACATTCATAAAAGTATAGCCATATGACCTGAACATTACATATTAGTACCTTTCCAAATGAGTTTATACAATATTTATACAATTTTTTTGTGTTTTTACAAACAAATGGAGTCAAATTGTTTTCTGTGGTAATCACAGATGCTTGTATTGAACCCAGCATATTCCTTTAACCCAACACTGATCTAATCCGAAGCATTGCAAAGAGTAAGGTCCTGTAATACAAAGTGTCCTTCTATTTAGCTTTACTGACTAGAGTACAAGAATGATCATAGATCGACCCTAGCAAGTATCCATCATTCAAGTGTCAGCCTGCTAAAGCTATATCCCTTTTGATTTCCCCTTTTTTTCTGTTGGTTTTTCGTGTTTGTAAATGATCACACCATATGCAGTATGCCAGTCCTAACCCATACTGCAACATGAAACACTTCTTGACTGTTCCAGCCATTATCGAACAATAATATGGTTTGTTTTCATGGATCTTTAGTTTAGACCCGTTCATTGTGTATCTAATAAGCCATTAGCAATGCTGCATGTTTGCATTTAGTTGACCTAGTAGATAGTAGTATGTAGAATAGTAGAATGTAAAGGTATAATGTTACTCTCATTATCAACTGTTTTGAATCAATTGATTTTTTTTATTGCATTGCAATGTAAACATGCAGCTCTGCTAAAAAAAAGTAGTTTAACAGGGAGTAGAATAAACATTTGTTCCAGAGGGCACCACAAATAAGAAATTATAGCGCCCTGTGCACAAATGTTTTTGGATAGTTTGAACTTACAGTATCTGTAATGTGTTGGAAATGTGTCTTCAGCTAAATATCTTTATGCGATTATAATATTTTTAGATTCAAAGCAATATATACACACTACTGATCATATCGGTCTCTATGATGTTATTTCATGTTTTTGAACGAAGTCTCTAATGCTCACCAAGGCTGCATTTATTTGGTCAAAAACAGTAATACAGTGAAATATCATTACAATCTACAAGTCAACTAACTCATTAGTAGTCTGTAGTAGACAGTTAATAGACTGTTTCTGGTTAGTAGAGTAAGTTGGCATGTACACTAAGTTACTCATAATTAGTAGTTGGTAGACCATCACAATAAAGAGAAAGCAGATATTAAAGGGATAGTTCACTTTGAAATGAATTTTTGATATGTTTCAGCTTACCTCAAGGGCATCCAAGAGGTGTTTTTGTTTCCACAGTGTTTTTAATTTTGATATTTTTAGGTCAAACTGCTGTTGTCTATCAGTCATATAATGCAGGTTTAGGGGGCCCTCCCTCGGTTCACCTCAAAGAGCATGCACAGAGAAGTCAAAATTAAAGATGATTTAATGACTCGTAAATGTAAGAACACATTGATGGCCTAAGACACGAAACGAGCGGTTTGTGTGAGAAAACGAACAGTATTTATATTGTTTTTACCTTGTGTAACCACAGCCATGTCCAACTGATCTGACAGCACGGGCGCATCGGTCTGCGCATACGCTGGAAGTGATCGCTTGCGTGTGTACGTCACTCATTGTTTACACAGAGATTTCGGAAGTTTTACCTTTAACTAAACATATTTAAAAATATCAAAATCGTTTTCCATTGCGATTTCCTGTATATCTAAATATGTTTAGATCTTCACAGTGAAAGCTAAATCTTCCGAAATCTCTGTGTAAACAATGAGTGACGTACACACGCACGTCCATGCCTTCAGATCCGTTGGACATGTCTGTGGTTACACGAGGTAAAAACGATATAAATACTGTTCGTTTTCTCACACAAACCGCTCGTTTCATGTCTTAGGCCATCAATGTGTACTTACATTTACGAGTCATTAAATCATGTTTAATTTTGACTTCTCTGTGCATGCTCTTAAGAGGTGAACTGGGGTGGACCCCCTAAATCTGCATTCTATGACTGATAGACAACAACGGTTTGACTGAAAAATATTAAAATTGAAAATACAGTGGAAACAAAGACACCTACATATTGGATACCCTTGAGGTAAGCTAAAACATATCAAAAATGAATTTCAAAGTGAACCATCACTTTAAGCATATAGTCTAATACTTTAAGAGTTAGTTGACATGTGGTTGCAAGTTAGTGGATAATTGAAATAGCGTTGCCTACTTTAAAAGTGTCACATGATACTTCAGAAATCTCTCTAGTATCCTAATTTGCTGCTCAAGAAACATTTCTTTATTAACAGTGTGCTGCTTAAAACTTTTGATTCTCGTTTTCATGATTATTTGATAGATAGCTCCAACTTTTTCCCTTTTGATCAACTTGATGCATCCTGAATAAGAGTATTAATTTCTTTAAAAAAAAATCTTTCTGACACCAAAGCTTTTAACGGTAGTGTACATTATGTGTGCGTGTATACAGATAGCTAGCTGAAAACACATTTTTACAACTAATCTAAATTATATGTACAAATATTTATTTTTTTTATTTTTGTTTCTCTCCTCGGTGCTCATCTATGCAGGTTCAACCCATGTCGTCTCCCCCACCCAGCTTCTGGACGCTCTCAAGGCTATGAACAAACCCGACGAGGAGCAGACAAGCTAAAAATCACAACAACCTTCCCCCAAACCCCATCGCCCAGTTACCCTCTCCCTCCCTCCATCCGTCGCCCTGTAAATCTCACCCGCTCCTATATAAATTGTGTATGCATCTTGCTTGAGAGAAAAAAAAATAGATGATTGGTTAAAGTTAAAAAGAATATTCTATAAATTTATATATAAATGAAATGTTGAAATAAAACAAATCACTGCAAGTATTCTGTTTTACAATGGATGCAAATGATTAGACTGTCAAACTTTCGTTATTAATTGCAATTTAAAAACCTGAAAGTACCAAATGTAATATTGTGTGTTATGAAACCTGCTAGAATATGTAAATTGTAGATCACTTTTTGCTTTCGTTCCTTATTTAACCGTTTTTTCTTTTTTTTTTTCTTTAATGGCTTAAAGTGGTTGGGGGAGGGACTGGTTTTTATGCAAATAGACCAGTGAAGCAAAATGATGCATATCACTTCCTCTGCTGAAGGCTGAACTGACGCCCGGTTTAGATGCTTGGGTTTAATTGTTGTCTCATTTTAGATGTGCATGCCATGGACGTGGCCCATGTGGCCCTTTTGACGTGAGAAAACATTGAAAAAAAAATTTAAACAAGTTAGGATGTGTAAAAATGTAACATTGAGCATCTTTTGGGACTCCAGTGATGAAGAGGAAGGAGGCCAAGGGAGTAACAGATCAAAGCCTCAAGCTGTAAAAGTGAAAGAGACACTGTACATAGATGGCAAACGTCATCCCTCCTTCAGTCGAGATTCCGGGAGCATTTACTCTCCATATCCTTTTCTTTTCACGTCTCCTTCTACAGAGACCTCATGATTTAGTGTGAAGAAGGCCGTTGCTTGCAGATGTTTAAGAAATTCAAAAAAAGGGCCAGTTGTATTTCAGTATTGTATCTTGTCCAATTAAGTCTCATCATTGGTTAGTAAACAATGTTTAACCGGGACATGCACTGAGTAACGTGTTGTTGTATATGCCATATGTTACTGTTTTTCCGTCTCACTGTTGAAAATTTCTGACTGTGAAGTAGTAAAACTTTCCTTTGCCAATGTGAAGCCACTGTGTTTGTGACGTATTAGCTGTAGCTGTAGTTAAACTGGTAAAAAAAAAAAAAAGGTTATATCTAGCTTTTGTTTGACTGTCTTGTAGTTTCTTTCGGACGCAATGTTTTATCTTCCAATGGTGAACGGCTTTGCAACAAAAAGCAATCCCCCTATTTAACATTTTGGTTTCCGTTACCTCTTTACTCTGTTTTGGCAGAAAGGTTGTATATTGCACTAAGCGTTTTCTGTGATGCAAACGCTTTTATGGTCTCTTTTTATTTATTTATATAATTTTTTTAATCGTTCTCCTATTTTGTGTTTGCTGTTGTATAGCTGTGTCGACTAGATTGATTTCTATTAAATTTATTTTTCAGAGACTATCAATAAATAAGAACATAGTCTGTCTTAAACCTGTTGATCTTACTGGGATTATATGTTTGCGAGTGTTGAAGCACAAACTAAAGTATACTTCATGTGTACCGATGTAGTAAGGCTGTCTAATAAATTGGCTTCCATTACAAATGAGGAATCAGTACATTTTTGTGACGGGCTCCATACAGGACTTCCTCTATACATCCGATCACACCTATGATAATCTCAGATTTTCTTATATATATATTTATATGGAAATGTAAGATTTATAATGGGATCCAGGGTATGGTATCCAGGGTAAAGTCAGCATACCATCATGTAGGATGAACCATATGGAAGTAAAATAATGCCAAATGTTTTTTAAACAAAAAGCCTGTTTGAAAAAAAAAAACAGGCATTGCATTAACCCTGCTTGTATTTTAATGCATTGTATTTTTAGGGCTTGCATTTTTATGGGCTGAAATTTAGCATGGTTGAACATTTAAGCTGTGAATATTTAAATTCAAACACATTTTCATAAGTAAAATTTCAATAATAAGTATTCACCTTTCATATTTTACTTCCAAAATATTCAGACTGATTAAAAATACAACCTATAATATTCAACAGGCGGTTTTCGGTCCATTTTATTTCGCTTCGCAAATTTGCTTCCACAAATTCGAGATGGTTCTCACTGCAGAACATGAAATCCACAGGGAGGAGTCAGATCCAGATCCAACTCCTCCCACATTACATAAATTATATTATTATTATATTAACTTGTCAAAAAAGATACTAGTGGATACAGACAGTAAATATGTATTGATTTGCAAGTTAGCAAAGATAAAACAATAAACAAAGCATACACTTGCACGCTTTGAAATAAATACAAATTATTTGTTAATTTTCTTTTGTCATATGAGAAAAGTAAAATGGCAGAAATGATTGGCAATCACTAGAAAGAAACTTTAAAGGAGTAGTTCACTCACCCCCATATCATCCAAGATATCCATGTCATTCTTTCTTCAGTTGAAAAGAAATTAAGATTTTTGATGAAAACATTCCAGCATTTTCTCCATATAATGGACTTCAATGGGAACCAAACGTTCCAAAAGACATTTTCAGTTCCTCTGCATCTCAATCTCCTTTGCATCTCCATCTGCATTGACAATTTCAGCCCATAAAAATGCAAGCCTTAAAAATACAATGGATTAAAATGCAAGCATGGTTAATGCAATTTTATTTAAAAAAATTAAATAAATAAAATTTTCACTTGATGCAATTCAACATGATTTTTGTTTCAAAAGCATTTGACATTAATTTACTTCCATAGAACCACATCCAACAGGACTTCTTGTCCACATCCAACAGAAAGCTGTCTAAAAGGGATGTCTGGGTACTAACCTGGATTGCATCAAAAAAAATAAAAAATAAAATAAAAAGCATGAAAGTAAAGTTGAAAATTGGTACGGAATTTTAGAGAATTTTTAATCGGTGTTTCATTTTTATTCTTTAACCCGTGTATATAAGAAAAGTATTTATTTTATTATTAATTACAGGTGTGGTAATGGCTACCTGTTATTTCCAGGTTTTCAACACTGTGTGAACCCCGTTACATTGAATAAAATGTTGTTGGATAGACCATTTGATTAGCCACCAACCTTGATCACTGGATTCTGAATGTATGATACATTAGCTGACTTTCAACTCAGATTTCTCTCCATACAAAACCCCTAGCATATCAGACAGCAGGTCTGGTCCGTTACCTAGCTGTAAGGAAAACAGTAGCATGACACAGGTCAAATATAGAATCATTTATAGTAGTAGTAAATTAAGTACAAAAGTACAGCTCTATAAATACAAAAACACATAAAAACATTTAGAAAAAACGCTACCAGAGTCAATAAAAACAAGCAGCACTAAAAAGACATTTTCCAAGGAAAACTATATATAAAATATTTAGTACTAACAATCATTATCTCACAACCCAATAAAACAGAAAAACACAAAGTGAAATGCATGTTGGTCTTTCTTTTCACACTGACCTCAATGCTGCTACAAACACTTGTGGGACTCAAGGTATGCTGGATTATACACACTGAATTCAAGTTTAAAAAAAGGTTATCCAGTTGAAATTTGGAAATTCCAGGTAAACAAATACAGTACAAAAGTACCATAATATAAATACAAAAAAAAAAAATCACACAACAACTTCAAGAACAGCACTGTACTTATTCCCCCTATTAGAAAAGATAAAGATTTAAAAACCTGTCACTGACAGATATGAAAAACAAATCCATTCCACATTCATACTGTGAAAGTGACTTTTCTTCTTAGTTAAAACAAATATAAATCTACCTGTGGATATTTGAAAATCTTAACAATGACATTATCTGGTCTGGCCAGAAAAAAGAGCTCTAGTACAGTGGACCCAAAAATCCTTTTGACATTTAAATCACACTTAAACATGCATGTCTTTTGATTATATAACAAAATATAAATCCAACTGGTATCTGATAAAATAATTCTGTAAAATAGTAGATGTCCTAAAGTTCTACCAATGTTTGGAAACCACCACGTCTTTATCCTCATTTATAACAGTACCGTATATTTATTGCTTTTTCCATTTAAAACCTAACAAACTTTTCAAACTTTTTAGTTAAAAAAAATTTTGTATTTTTTTGCTTTCTTATTTAGCTTTTTCCCAATGGCATGCATACATCTTTAAGTGTGGATTAAGTTTCCAAATATTTGAGGTCCTTCTATATACAAACCTGTATTGTTTAAGCTACCATAATGCAGCTATCGATCTCTAAAAGTCACCTGAGACATTTCCCAGCATTTTCTACTGCAGCATTGAATGGCATCAGACACACTGCTATGGGAAAAAGTTGTTTTACGTAAACTAATGAAAACAATCAAACATCACTTTCTTTGTGAGAAACAGCTGAGCAGCACAAATGTATTATTCCTCATTTGATGTCACTTTGGATAAAAGCGTCAGCTGAATGAACAAATGCTGATGTCATTAGGTGCAGGATGTGGTGAGGAAGCTACTGCAGTGCAGCCCTGAGGACAGGGAGTGAGCCATGCGATGCGAGACCTCTTTCATGTTTCTAGCCGCTGTGAGGGCGCGGGTCAGAGAGCTGTTCAGAGAGAGAGAGCGTCTGCGATGACCTCTGACCCCATCTCTGCTGGGACTTGCTGTGATGTTAAAGGGTTGTGAGTAGGCCTGTGCCGGCACTGGGCTGGAGAAGTACCTGCAAGAAAATGACACAGAGCGAGGGGTGTCTTTCAAAAACATTAAATAATCTTACCAACATGTATATCAGCATAATATAAATCAAATCATCATAGAACAACTGGTTGACAGGAAGTTGAGATTGTTCTCATACATTTTTCTAGAGTCTGATTCATTGTCCAGGCAGCAGTTGAAGATAAGGTACTCACAGAGTTGAAGGATAGACGGGCACATATGGGATAACTGGAACACCTCCCTGCAATGTGGGGTGAGGAGCCACTGCCACATTCATGCCTCCTCTGTCCTTCTGTAAGGATCTCATTGGCTCACTCCTTCTGGGTGTGGACACTGGCACCTGATTAGCTAAATAACCACACACGAGAGTCAACATGATTCTTGGTGATATACAAGTCATATTAGGTAAATATATCAGCAATTAACTTCATTAGATTATAGATAATGAAGTGCAAACCTGTTTGAGAGGCTCTTAATGCACCACACAATGGGCATTGGCTACAGGAAGGTTGCGTGAGACGTGGAGAGCTCCTGCTCCTCATTGGGCCTTTAATGAATAGTGTAAAGGAGGATAGTTCATGAAATGTTCATCTCAGTAAGTTTCAGATCCCATTCTCATGATAGAGGGAGGATGCTTACGTGTCGAGGCACCAGTGCGATCTGATTTGCAGTATACACAGGTAGGTTCCGGTCCTCGGCCCAGTTCCATTTCATCGCTATTATCGGATCTGCCTGCTGTTGTTTAATTAAAATGACCACAAAATATTCTTGACTACCATATCAAAACCTAGTCATCTATGTTAAATTACAACAAAGTCTATACTTACAGGTACTGTCCTCTTTGTGACGTTCAAATCCTCTGGTTTGTCTTCTCCCTCTTGATGTCATAGGGGACATCGGGACATGTCTTGATGTTGATGGTCTTGGCTCAGACTGGATTTGCTCAGAATCAGTTGCTGCATATGTAATGAGTAATATAATCACTCTATCAGAGTTTAACTGATTCAAACTTGGCATCCAAGTGTTTCGTTATTCAGGGCTGTTGAGAAAATCTCTTTGCATCCCTATCTTACAACAAAGCCATGAGCCATATTTATCCTACACTGATTTGGAAAGATTTGCAAGTAGCTGCACATACTCAAGTCAGTTTCAGGTCGATGTCGAGGTAAAGATGCTGATCTCTGCCTCAGGATGTGTCTTGGTGAGTATCCTTTTTCTTTTTCACCATTCCTTTCTCTCTCTGTCTGCCTTCTCCTCCTCTCTGACCTAATAGGAAATAAATATGATCAAATCTTTTTGAAGTTAAAGTTCAAGGCAATATATATAATATTTTGATAGTCTAATTACCTTAAATGAACCCACTGCGGTGTTAGTATCTGTGGGCGTGCGTGATTTGTGGTGTTTTCTGTGGCAGAAGAGGGCGCTCTAACAGGACTAGCAGGTTTGGAGAGTCTCAGACTTCCCTCTAGTCTCTCCTTTAGTCGGTTCACTTCTTGCTGTAGAGATTCAAGAGCCTCTCTGAAACATACAAAATGCATAAAAGTTTAATAAATAAATACTTTAAAGAGGGGAAAACATGAAATTCAATAAAAATCAGTCACTATCTGGAGTTCTAATTTCGATGCGTCAAATTAATGCTGCTTTGTCTTGTCCATCAAAAAAAAATAACATGGTTTCCACAAAAATATTAAGCAGCACAACGGTTTTGAACATTGATTATAAGAAGAAATGTTTCTTGAGCAGCAAATGAACATTAGAATTATTTCTGAAAGATCATGTGACACTGAAGACTGGAGTAATGGATGCTAAAAAAAAAATCAGCTTTGCATCACAGGAATAAATTACATTTTAATATATATATTACAATAGAAAAGAGTTGTAATAGAGTTGAATTGTGAAAATATTTCATAATATTACTGTTTTTACATTATTTTTGATCAAATAAATGTTAGGACTCTTACAGTGTAATATGTTAAAAAAATATGCGTAGCTTGCAAAATTTCACACAAAAAAAACAGTTCACATGGCTGGGGTGATTTATTTGTTTCTGACATCCATGTTAGAAGAAGTGTTGTGACAAGTGCTGTTGATTGACAGTGTGAAATCTAGTGGATTTTTTTGGCATAATATACCTGTGCAGTTAAAGGGTTATGGTGTTTAGATGAAACTGTACATATTGGCTCGAAAGATATTTTGAGTCTGTTAGAATTCAGATCAACACAGGGTTTAGAAATAACCATTGCAGTTAGAAGTGTTACAGGCACTGCCAGAAGTGGTGGGTGTGTGGATGTGGGTAGGTGAATATTTCAACCATCAAAAGCACACAAGGGGTTTTATTAATAGCTAATGGTGATTAATGCTGGTCTTTTCTTGTGGAGCAGAATACATACCAGCACTGTATTCAGCTAGTCTATTTGAGATACAAACTCCTGCTGAATCAAAGAAAGGAAAGAATGAAAATTAAATCTAAATTACCAGATGGAACTCTGGCTGCCATGAAGTAAAAAATGATTTTATAGAGACCATTTAATACCACTGGATTTTTTCCCAGAACACCCTTACATTAGTGGCCAAAGAGTGGCCATAAATCTCTGCTTGTTTGTGCTGAAGTGACCATGTCAGCCTTTAGGAAACTCACTGGTGATTTGTTAGCTGAACGGAACTTTGGGCTTCGAGGTGGTCTTCGTGGTGATGTGGCACATGAAAGGAGGGGCTTCTGTGAGAGCGGAGCTGCAGATTGGCTGGTTGTGGGTATTGGCTACCCTGTGTTTTTTCCTCCCCAGATAAGAAATGGACTGAAAATTTATGGAGAAAAGGGATGAAAAGAGAAATCAGCAAATATCAGCATTATTCGAGACAAAATAAATGTTTTAATGGTAATGCTGTAAAAATCATATATACAGTATATTATAGCATATATTACAATTACAACATTTATTATACCAGGTTAATGCTAAATTATATACTATTGTTAATTTACAATAAACATAAAATGGTAACACTTTACAATAAGGTTCATTAGTTAACATTAGTAAATGCATTAACTAACATGAACTAACGATGTGCAATGCATTAGTTACAGTGTTTATTAATCTTTGTTAATGTTAGTTAATATAAATACAGCTGTTCATTGTGCGTTCATGTTAGTTCAAAGTGCATTAACTAATGTTAACTAATACAACCTTTGATTTTAATAACGTATTAGTAAATGTTGGAATTAATATGAACTAAGATTAATAAATGCTGAAGAAGTTTTGTTCATTCTTAGTACATGTTAACTAATGTAGTTAACTAATGTTAACTAATGAACCTTATTGTAAAGTGTTACCCATAAAATGTTCACCATGTATTAGTATATGTGGAAATTGATCTTCATAACACTGTAGAAGTATTCACTGAATGCATTTAGTGTAACCATGTATTATGATTTCATAGAGAGAAACATAAGACAACAATATCAGACTCTTAAAATATTTTGACATGCTTTTTGTATGAAATTTCAAGCCAATTCTAATGCTGACACCCACCAGGATCACTCCCGTGATCTGATTGGCTGGTCAGACTGCTTGGCCAGGGGGGGATGGTGCTATTAGGCCAATGAAGGGGGGAGATTGATGGAGAAAGGTTGGAAGAGGAATGCGTCTCCTCCCCTCCTCTCTTCCTAACCGGACCTGTACATCCTCCAGACATGCTGAGGTGTTCTCCTAGGGTATTTGGAGAGGGTTGTGAGCGAGAGGTGGCGACGGCAAAAGGCTGCCCAGGAGGAGGAGCGGACTCTGGTCTTTCGGTGTTCATGTGTGAGCGAGACAACATGGAACTGAAGAGATTTCAGAAAAATATAAAGGCGTATAAATTCCCAAGGATAGCAAAAATATTTAACTAGAATTTAAAAATGAAATTTGAGGGTTTTTTTCCAGACTTTTCCACCCGTTTTATGATCAATCTGATGGAAAATAAGTCTAGTCACTTAAAAAAGTAAAAGCACACCTCTTCTCAAGCCTGTAGCACAAATAGTGCAGGATCTAACCCTAAGTATGAGCAAGTTAAAGTGATGCTTAATTTACTAAGCATCACTAACACATTACAGTTCACAGGTTTCTTGTCTAATAAAGGGTCATAGGATCAAAGTGGAAGTGCTCTAGACAAGACAGTGAAGGCGCTGCATACCTCACCACTGCCCTCTGTTGTAGAGGACTGTGTACTGCATGAGTGAGCTGACTGCTCTCAGAGCCCATAAAGCCACTGTCTGTCTCTGGAGACATGACCCCATCCTGCAGTGTCAGAAATACATGCAAGAGCTCTATTCAAATTATTATTATTCACGCACATAAAGAATCCTTCAACTATATAGTGTTGTTCATCACAAATAAAGTAGTCACTGACCAGAAGGGGCGATCTGACCGTCTTGGCCTTTGCTTTCAGGCCCATAGTTTTGGGCTCTGTACTCTCTGCCAGGCTGGTTAGGCTACTGCTTTGAGTTTTCCTGCTTACTGACATTTTCTTCTCCCTGCCCTGTTGCCCCGGCAACACCGAGAAGTGGCAAAGAGCCTCTGGGTGAGTTTCCATAGAGTCACACACCTGTGAGCTAACAGATGGGCTAAAGCGAGGGACACAATCTGCTGCTGGCTGCCTAAAGAAAGAGAGAATGGAGAGGTGAATGACAGAGCAAACAGCCAGGTGTTGATAATAGTGTAGTGCGGATTGAACTGCTGCTACCCTTAATTATCTTTCAAAATCTGATAACAACAAACAGCTGATGTTTAGATCACAAACACAGAAGTATTCTTATTACATCTGTGTCAATTACCCTTAATTTATATAACTGAATCAGAATAAACTGATAGAATCCCAGGGTTTCTAAAATGGATGGGGCTTATCAGCCAAGATGTTCTCTAATTGGTAGGATACGATAATTCTAATCTATGGTACACCAGTCAATTTTCTCAAATCGGTTAATAAGGCCCAAACAGTGATGTCTGGATAATGAAATATAATAATAATATTACATTCTTTACTGTCTTAAAGTAGCTGATCCCATAGATCTTCTAAACATTGCATAAAATACTTTTCAGTACAAATATCTAAACATTCTTAAATAAAGATACATTTTCTTGAGACACAAAATTGTCATGTTTTTTTTTTTTTAAACATTATCAAAATTAAGTTAGTAAAACATCTGCTAGTGATGTAATAAATGTAATTCAAAGGGAAATTAATTTTAATAAAATATTAAACAAGTCAGTGTGGGTTTCTGCAGAGGCGGCTCATCAAAATTTTGGGGTGGAAAAAGCGAAAAGTACGTTCAAATTCCCAGTTATTCATGTAATTTCATGTTTCAGAATGTAAATTACTTGTTTGTAATTTCACCATTGTAACGGCATAAAATATTATTGTAGTTGGTGGGACCACTGTTGCTTTTCCAAGAGACATAAATTACGTGATAATATATGCTCCCGCTGGTAATCTAGCAACCAGCTTAATTATGGATAGTAGAGATATTGAATATTTGATCGCCAACAAATTTACCAAGATTAAAAATTAAGGAAGACCCCACACTAAAGTTAGATGCAGGCTACAGCAATCACCTAATCAAAAAAAAAAAAAATACAAATTCACATTTTAAAATCAACCAGCAGGCAAAATTTGCCATTTTGCCTTTAAAATGAATGTACCTTGATTTAAGAATGTACAGATATTGTACTGTAAAACAACAATATTAAGTAAGAAAAACATTGCAGTGCATCCTTGAAGCTGATGTACTGAAATATTATGTGAAATAGGCTCAGGACTCACTGCTGAGCAGATTTTGTCATCTCACTCTCATTAACAGTCCTGTGTCGTTGTCTGACCATTACACTTTTTTTCTCAGAGGGAACACAGTGTCCAAAATCCAGCAAGTCACGGCTCTTTAAAGTCATGGCTTGGTCCAGCATCCCAGGGAGCTTTTTAAAACTCTGATAGCTGGGTAAGAAGACAATAAGAGATATATTCTGACATTTAAAGCAGTTTATATACAGTATATGTATATATATATATATATATATATATAGTATATATATATGGGGGTTATATATAACAAAGGTCACTCACCAGCCCATGAGGTTACTGAAGTCTTTCTCCACATGCTTGTGTTTGTCATAGAGTGGATGAAGACCAAATGGGAGGATCTCTTCTTCCTCTCTGTCTGCATCACTCTCTCTGCTAACTAAACTGACGTCCACACCAACACATGCCTCAGGATGGACAGCTGACAGTGGGCTCTGAGAAAGAATGGAGGAGAAAATCTGTAATTTTATGTCCTTCATATCTGTAAGCTCATGAGGTCAGAGGATAGTGAGGTGTCGAGGTTAAGTTTGAGGCACCTGAGGTAGAGGTTCAGTCTCCAGCATGGACATACAGAGCACATCTGAAGGAGGGAGCGGGGTTAAAGTAGATTCAGAAATGGGTTGCTTCTGTTCTGCTTGCTCCAGCCACTCCTTTATCTCATCCAATCGCATCCCTGATCTGAAGATCTGACCTTCTAGGTCCCTGTGTCACACACAAACACACAGTATGCATATTTTGTACATATTACAAACCAGTGGCACAGGAAGTAAACAGAAAGCACAGCTTTGTCAATATTTGCATCAGCATCAAACAACAATGAAGTTTATCTGTGAACAAATAAATAAAAAAAACAATAAAAAAAATAAGTCTCGTATGTGCACCAGGGCTGCATTAATATGATCAAAAATCAATTAAAAACATTAATATTGTGAAATATTATTACAATTTAAATTAAAATTTTGAAACCATTAAACGTAATTTATTCTTGTGATGGCAAAGCTGAATTTTCAGCAGCCATTACTCCAGTCTTCACTGTCACACGATCTGCTATGCTGATATTTAATAAATATATATATATATATGTTCTGATTAATATTTTTAAGGATTTCTGTATTTTTTAGGATTCTATGAAGAATAAAAAGTTAAAAAGAAGAGCAACGTTATAAATGACTTTACTGTCACGTTTGATTAATTTAATGCATCCTTGCTGAACAAAAGTATTAAATTCTTTGAAAAATCTCTAAAAAAATCTAATGGTAGTGTATATATATATTTATATATTAAAAAAATATGCTACCTGTCTGGGTCAAAGGTGACATGCCCGCCTTGTCGCTGCTGCAGCATCTGATACTGGGCTCGTGCATCTAGGTAAGCCCTCTCAAGAGACTCTTGCCCCTTTGCCAGTGTGGAGAGACCCTGTAGAGGATTCAGACTTAGTCAATCTGCCTTGTGTCTCAAATTCAAGTTTTTTTTAAACAAGCATCATCATACCTTTATCTGTTCACAGGGCTTGAGTTTCCCATTCTTTAGAAGTGCCTCAAAAGCATCAACCTTAACAAGAAAAAAAAAAAGAGTTTGACATAATGATGGTCATTGTTACAGACACTAAAAGTTCCAAATAGGTTCTTTTAAATTTAGTTACCTGTAGCTGAAATCTATGAGTCTGTTTGGTCAGAGTCTCTGTTAGATAGTCTGCTGTAAGAGATCCAGAGCTGATGGAGCACACAGAGGAAGGGCGAGGTACTGTTTTTCTGGAGTTTTCTGCAATGCAAATAAAACAATTTTGGGATGAATGAACAATCTTATTCAGTTTGACTGAAAAAACAATTTAGAAGAGTCCTCATGTCCATAGCTCATAAGTCAGCTGGAAAAAAATAACTAGAAACGAGCATTTTGCTAAATATAGGCCCTCATATTCATTATAATTTTAATTGACGTCTTATTTAAACGGTGACTGTACTAAACAAACATACATTAAATGTTATTTAAACAACAAATTAGAGTAGAAACATATCATTAACTATATCATTATCAAGTTTATATAAAACTTATATAAAACTATATCATTATCAAGTTTATATAAAACTTTTAACAAAAAAAAAAGTTAAAATTTCTTAATTTTTAAATCAATTTCATGAATTAATTTATTAATTAAATAAACTATATTTTTGGTTTGGGTTTTTGGCCAAATAAAAACTTTAATTTTGGTTTTGGCAAAATAAAAATCATTTCAGTGCATCACTACAAAAAAAAAAGAATCACCTAAAAATAAAAAGTCTGCTGTTTTCTTAACAATTACACATATTTGATATATTACAGAAAATTTTTGATTGTGATTAGTATGTACACTATAAAAGTACACAGTTTCAAAGTGGTGTTGTCAGTGTGGTGTACCGGGGTCATTCTTCTGCTGGGTCAGGTTAGCAGATCCTGAGCTGAACTCTGCCCTCTGTGCTTGAGGAAAATTGAGGGTTATGACCTTTGACCCTTCCTGAATAACACCTGACAGGATAGCTGTACTGGGCTTTGGGGGTTCAGAACAGAGACCAACCTAAAAAACAAACGGCACATAGAAAACAATCATGTTGACAAGTAAAGGGCTATTTTGACAATAATCCAAGACTGTGAGCCCATTTCTATACATAATGCCTTATAATGAGTCCTGTGTAAACGCATTCATGTCCCCTATGTGCTGCACTATAAAATCTCTCTAAATCCATATTTATATGGTATACTGTACATGTGGAGAAATAAAATTAGTATGTTTATATTATATTTATTTCTGGTTCAGGTGGAAGCAATCTTTGGTCTTGATCTGTGGGACGATACACAGCGAGAAGAACACAACAAGGCCTGTCGCCACCAACTATGTAGATGCTGAGAGTGAGACCATCAGAGAAATACAGCCCTGACTTGCCTGCACACATAACAGACCCCTCAGATTTACAGTACCGCAGACTAGTGGCTGAACCACAAAGGAGAATGGAGGAGACTCACATTCAATAAAGGACTCATAAAACAGGCCATTTAATTAGTGTTTTCCCACTGCTGGACTTGCTGATAAGACACTGGACAGAGAAATACACCAGATAGAGAAATACACACGAAAACACAATGTCAGTAGGCTGATATCCCTGCAACTCACACACAAAATAAAGAAAGGGGCATAATGGATGCCAAATGACTGTCCCCACTTGATAAGCACCCCGAGACACTAAATCACACTAAACATAACCTCAACATGACCCCTGAGTGTTTCGAATAAAATAGCATCCATTTTCGACCACAATCTTTATTATTAATCGATCAACACCAGAATCAGATCATCAGATGTCAATTAACAGTGTTACCAGCCTATGCCTTCATTTTCACATAGGGGTGGGCAATAAAAGCATATATACGTACTCAGTATATAAAATATTTAACTGTCTTTTAAATAAACTTTATTTTCGGTCTGAATTTGGAAAAGCCATTTCATAATGATGCCATTTCTAGAGTTGTATTATTTATCACCCACTCCTATTTCTACATCTAAGAAACCACAACTAAGTCAATAAGGGTTATAATAGAAGTGAATGAAACCTGTCTTTCTCAAGCTGTTGTTTCTGTTAAAGCAGTAGCAGATGGCCAGGTCATGTGAGGGAAGAACTTGATGAGCATTAGAGCAAATGCAAAACCGAACAGAGAAATGGCCTATGATGATTGGATTAAATAATAACCAACATTGCTCAGTAAAAGGTTACGGTACAGCTGAAATGAGTTTAGATGAGGTTGTGACATGTAACACTGAACTCTTATGTAACAGCAAAGGTAAGTGACATCACATCCTGTTTTAATTCTGGCTCAGCACCAGATTTGTTTCAGGTCACTTTATCACTTGATTAGGTGCCAGTGTGCTGTGTTTATTAACCGTTTTCAACATTCAACGTATGATCTTATCAGACACATAAAATAGAGCTCATTTCATAAGAACGATAATAATGATAATGTCATTTGGTTGTAAATTGATTAAAATATTTAATCATAATAAATTCCAAAAATTAGTTTGTAGATAACGTGTTGCACTCAATAGGCTATATGCCCAGCTGCACTACTTCCTGAACTTCAGCCAGCTCCTTGTTTCCTGCCTGCCATTATTGGCCAAACTTGATTAATTCAGGTGTGTCTGATTATTGTTGCCTTGACTACTGAGGACAAGCACACCTGAATTAATCAATTTGGCCAATAATGGCAGACAGGAAACAAGGAGCTGGCTGAAGTTCAGGAAGTAGTGAAGCTGTGCATATAGCCCATTGCAAAAAAGGAAATAATAAACTACCAAGACGGGTAATCAGTGTATTTGTGCAACAATTTGTACATTTATTGCATAAGAAATGTTAAAGGGATAGTTCACCCAAAAATGAAAATTCTGTCATTAATAATTAATGACAGAATTTTAATTTTTGGGTAACATTTCTCACCCTCATTACTCATTACTCACCCTCATGTTGTTCCAACCCCGTAAAACTTTCGTTCACCAGTCTGCCCAGAAAAGTCAGTAAAGACAACATTAAAATACTAGTCCAAGTGACTACAGTGGTTCAACCTTAAGTTTATCAGGTGACAAAAACTTTTCTGGGCTGGGAGATATTAATTACCCAGCAGCCTATAAAGGAGTGAGCCAGCTCTCAGAAAATATCTTAATTTGTATTCCGAAGATGAATGAAAGTCTTACGGGGTTGGAACAACATGAGGTTGCGTAATTACTCACAGAATTTTCATTTTTGGGTGAATTTTCAGTTGCATACATTTACCCGTATAATATCAAGTATGCAGATAATTGAACAATTTGTGCATATAATGGTTTTGTATGTACACTGCTTATTGCCTTTGTTTGTTTGCTTGCTTGCTAGTTTGCTTTTCTCTGAAAGTGTTTGTGTCCTCCTGAGGTAAACCCTCTCAGCAGGCTTTTTTTTTATTTGAGGAAAGACATCACAATCAGAGAGAAAGCCCTCGGTTTGAAAATGAGCCTGTGCGTCTGTATGGCAGTGCTGCTAAAAGGAAGGCTGTGATTGTGGCCGTCACAAATGAGATTCTGAATACATATTGTGTTGACTCAGCCTGAGGACTCTAAAAATAGCTTTCGTCAACATCAGAGCAGACGGAGAAAGGAGACAGGCCTGCTGATATGAGGGAGAGCATGGCACTGAATTCACGTCAGCCTTCAAATGAAGGGAAAAAAAGCACATAACCATAAATACAGTCTGTGAAGCCAACCTTTGCTTTAAGGCGAAGTCGATCGATAGTATTTTCAGCTTCTGCATACTTGGTAAGCAGCTTGTTATAGTCCTCCTGTAAGAATAAGTTAACTTAACTTAATACATGACTTAATACTTTATCTTTCAATTTAGCCTAAATTAAAATAAATCAGTATGTTCAGAATGCTATGCAATGTTGCATATTCTAGCTTAAAATGTTTATTGTTTCATATAAATACACAGAATATACTACTGTTCAAAAGCTTAGGTTCAGTAATTCATTTAGGGAAAATTTTTTTAAATAGTTTCACAATATTACTGTATTTTTATCACATAAATGCAGCCTTGGTGAGCATAAGAGACTTTAAAAACATTTAAGTGGTTCATGACATGGAGTTTTTTTATTATGTTCCCTGAGGTTCACTTTTGCACTAAACCCCTCCCCCCATAAAGGAGCCACCCTTTTCAGTGTTGTTGCACAAAAGAACAGTCTTCTATTCAAAAAACCTGACAAATTGTTTTACAGTAAGCCTTTTGATTTACAAATGTCCTATGGCAATGACATTTTACATCGTTTTGGGCTGTTATTTAAAAAAAAAAAATCAAATAAAAAAGGTTGGAAAGAGTAATATAGAGTGATGTTTATTTAGAATCAATTAAAATTTTCAATGTGAATTTACTCTTTTCAGATTAAATAATCGTCGGTTTATTTTACAGTTCTTTAAAGTAGGTGATGCAGAAGCCTAATAACCCTGGTAACTCTTTAGTGTTGTTTTTTTATTTGTAAAAAGGTGTTCTTTCAACACCAGGAGGGTGTAATATTTGACTCCAATAAGGTTAAAAAGATTGTGATTTCCATTTTATTTTTAAAGTGTGAAATCAACACCAGAAAAGTGTAGAATTTTAACTTTGCCCGTGTTTGCTACAAAGCTGCACAAATCATTTACTTAAGGGTTGTGATGCAGCTGCTGTCAGATCCAATACAGCTGGCAGCTTAATCTTTCAACAAATTTTCTTTGCAAACTCTCCATTACACTGTGCCTCGCTTACAAAATGAAAAGCTCTGAACAAACATATAATCCTCCAACGTGATCTCGGATGCCATTAAAATAAACATCCACTTATTCCTGACACTGGTATCCTACTAAAGTCTGTCCAGAGACGCAAGCAAGCTGTTTAAACTGGACGACACATCAAAGTAAACATTCTTTCACTCTTCAATTTATCCTGTTGTGAACAGACTCAAGAGCATGGAGTATGTCAGAAACGAGCATATGTATACTGCAGACAGCGTCAGTGATTATAATGGGTTCTATTGGCTTTTGGCGCAATGCTCACACATCCAGTGTAAGCAAGCAAATGTCAGCTGAATGTCACTGGACAGTAACCAAGTACATTTAGTCCTGTATTTAAGTAAACTTTAAAATTTGTGGTAAATGGTACAAATAACTCTTATATATGTCAAAAGGCAAATTTGATTTCTCATGTCATGACCCTTTTAAAAAAGATCTTACTGATCCCAAACTTTTGAACAGTACTGTTTACTATGCAGTGTGCACTAAATAGTATACTAGAATTTCATTGTGAACAGTGTTCACTCCTCTTTACGTACCTGCAGCTGCTGCACCAGTGTGCTGGCCTGCTGGGGGCAGCGGAACTCCTCTGGTACTGTACTGTTCAGGCGCTTGAGGGTCCCACTGGTGGAGGGACTTCCTGGAGACCCATCAGTGCTGCTCAACAGGACCTCTCTCACAATCTCAGCAGGGGATTTGAACACTACAGGAAGATCTGGGTGGGAAGTTCTATCATGAGGGGGTCTACTGCTTTTAGGAGGTTTGTATCCACTGTTTTTCGGGAAACGAACCCTCGGCTTCACGTTGGAGAAATCAGGTAATGGGCGACTCAGTTGTCCTTTCCTATGAATACATAGAGAGCAATAATTGATTAAAATAAGAACTAAGCTGGACTAAATGTACAGTATGGATTAATCACATTATAGTACTTTTTGCAAAAATGTTGTTTTAAATTCTGGAAAATTGTATACTTTACAACAACAATACAACAAATTACTTATTTAAAGTATATTTTAAATAAATAAATGCACATTATTTTCATACATGTACATATATATTTTTTGACTATTATTCATATATTCTTTTTGATATATTTTTTTTTCATTATTTGCAGAAAAACGTATACACATTTAGTTTATTCATGGGCCAACAAATCATGGGTCAAAAAAAAATTGTGTTCGTCCATCTGACCTGATGTCATCTGGATCAGTGTAAGAGGTTTTGGAGGTTCTGTGGTTGTTCACTGCTGAAGATCGGTGAGGTGTAGGAGGTGGCGTGTGCTCTGAGGGGGAGTCTTTTGCTTTAGAAATGCACTGTGCTGGAATGGAAACCTGATCGTCACAGGAAGCAGGGTTTGTTTTTCTGGGAAAGGCCGTTGGAGGCTGCAGGTTGTGGTTAGGATTGTGTAACCTTCTTTCTAGTTTATCTCCACTCGTACTATCTTGGTGCATTTTCCCCAGTCTGATTTTCATCACAGGGCTTCTTGGTGAAGCCTGAGGTGTGATCTTGTGTTTATTCTCCTCCCCTTTTGATCTAACAGTGTGGTATGTTTTAGGAGCAGGACTCTGGAAAGTGCTAAGAGATGACTCTGCTTCAATATCACAGTTATTCATCATTTCCTCTGAGGACAAATGGGGAAAACTGATGGGATCAAACGCGTTTCTAAAGGAACGATGTGAGATTGGGGGAAATTGCTCTTCGGTTTCCTTGAGTTCCTCACAATCACTTTGCTCAGATCGCTCTGGGACTCCTGAAATTGGAATGTTTTGGGGGGTCTCAGTCATTTTGTGACTGAAATCAAGGCTCTTCGCCATTCTAAACATAGATACCATCTCTTCTGTGACAGGAAGTGTTTGGTCCATGAATCTCTGAGTATCGTCACATGTGTCCTCATCAGTCATGTCTAACGCTGTCTCTCTCTCTGGGAAAGAATTTAATTTGTGCCTTTGGATTGTTGGGCTTCCTGTACCATCCTCATCATCAGTCCAATCTTCCAACAAATCATCTGCTTCATCTTCATATGCTCTGTGTTCTTCCTCTAAAAAAAAAAAAGACTGTTAAGACCATATGACCATTTTTTATTTTACTTACATTCCTAATAAAAAGTTTGGAGTCTGCAAGATTTTTTAAATGTTTTTGAAAGAAGTCTCTTATGCTCACCAATACAATACAATAAAAACACTATTTTGTGAAATATTACTATATTATTATATAATATTATATATAATATTATAAAATTCAGCATTGGCATTAGTGTCACATGGTCCTTCAGAAATCATTCAAATATGGTGATTTGGTTCAAGAAATATTTCTCATTGTCACTGTTGGAAACAGTTGCTGCTTAATATTTCAATGAAAACTGTGATCATTTTTTTTCAGGATTATTTGATGAATAGATAGTGTACACAAGAACTAATTATCCCTGTTCGCAAAATTAAAATCATTTAAATATAAAAACATACAATATTACTATCGTTTTAAGCTATTAAACTCAGCTGTGGATGTTTAAATTAAGTCCTTACGCAGAAATGTCTCGTCTCCAGTGGCCTGAGAGAGCGGCTCGGAGTCCAGCAGCTCACTCAGGTGACAGCTTATCGCCTCTAGTGCAGGTGGAGGTCCATGTTCAGGCTCAGGGGTCTTCACGTCCCACAACAGGTCCTCTGCAATCTCCTCCTCTCCTCCCTGATTCAAAGAATCATGATATGCTTATTAAGTTTTTTTTAAGTACCATTACTCATGGATAAGGTCCACTGACAAGCGGTTTTAAGAGTAATGAGACACTTCTGATGAAGAGCCCTGGTGAGCCTGCTCTAAATGACAAATAAATGGGCAGATATCAGTCAAACATCTCTGATGTCCTCACCTTCTGCTGCCCTTGACTCTCTGCCAGACCGATGATGCCGTTCTCATCCATCTGGCTATGGAAGTCGTCATCCAGTTCTTCATCCCAGCTGAAGTCCGACCCCTCTGGGCTCGAGGGAGAGGGGTATGCTGGGGCTGGTGTCCACACCAGAATTCCTGCAGTGGTACCACCTCTGCTCTGCTCCATTACCTTGCTCTTTATCTCTCTCTTTTATTCCACCTTGAGGTCCTGTACCACCCACAGCTCCTCCACACTGACACTGCGGTCTTCTGTCATGGTTGACCAATTACGAATGTTTTTATGAATAGGTGTAATATCCACTTATAGGTCATCAAGGTGATTGAACACAAACTGAAAAAAACAAAATAGCATGTTTTTTTATTTTATTTTCATTGAACGATTGAAGAGTTACTTTTCATGATTTTTGTCCCGAAAATTAATATTGCCATAATTCACTCACCTTTAAGTTCTAAACCTGTACGAATTTCTTTGTTCCGTTAAATACAAAAGAAGATATTTTGAAGAATGTTGGTCACCAAATCGTTGCTGGTCCCCATTGACTTTCATAATATAAACAAAAACCTGATGGGAGTCAATAGGAACCAGAATTTTTTTTTTTTTTTTGTGTGTGTGTGTGTGTTCAACAGAAACTCAAACCGTTCTAAGTGAACATACAAACACTTACAATGAAATTAAAAGGTCTATAATTTTTTATAGTAAGTTTATTTTAACAGACAGAGACAGAATATCAACGAAAAAATATAAATTGATTAGCATTTGATTGAGTGAAATAAGTATTTTACCACCACCAACCAGCAATAATTCTGCCTCCAGATCACACTTGAAAAAAGTGAGTCCTCCTAATGTCAGCTCATTATGTGTATAAAAGACCACAGAATCCCCCTCTTCCATTCCATCCTTTCCACCACCATGGGCAAGACCAAAGAGCGGTCAAAGGGCATCGGGGTCATGATTGTAGACCAGAACAAGACTGGAATGGGCTACATCATGACCATCAGTAAGAAGCTTGGTGAGAAGAAGACAACTATTTGGAAATGGAAGAAATACAAAATATCCATTAATCATCCTCAGTCTGGAGCTCCATGCAAGATCTCACTTCATGGGGTATATATTAAGGATAATCATGAGAAAGGTGAGGGATCAGCTCAGAACTACATGAAATAGGCGTGTTAATGATTTCAAGGGAGTAGGGACCAGTCACCAAGCAAACCATTGGTAACACACTACTCCGCAATGGATTAAAATCCTGCAGCACCTGCAAGGTCCCCCTGCACATGTACAAGCCCGTTTGAGGTTTGCCAATGAACATCTAATCATTCAGAGAAGGCTTGGGAGAAAGTGCTGTGGTCAGATGAGAAAAAAAAATTGAGCTCTTTGGCATCATTTCGCCGTGTTTGGAGGAAGAGAAATGTGGACTATGAACCCAAGAACACAATCCCTACAGTCAGGTACGGTGGTGGAAACATTGGACTGTTTCTCTGCTACGGGTTTCTGTTTCTCTCCTCCTTTCCTCAGCCAGAACACTCAAGATGGGTCGTGGATGGGTCTTCCCACATGACAATGACCCAAAACGAAGAAGCACATTAAGGTCTTGGACCTTAATACTATAGTAAATCTGTGGAGGGAGCTGAAACTTCCGAGTTGGAAAGCGACAGCCAAGAAACCTTAAGGATTTAAAGAGGTTCTGTAAAGAGGAATGGACCAAAATCCCTCCTGAGATGTTTCCAAACCTGGTGACCAACTACTAGAAACGTCTTACCTCTGTGCTTGCCAACAAGGGTTCTCCACCAAGTGCTAAATTATGTTTTGCTTGGGGATAAAATACTTATTTCACTCACTGAAATGCTAACCAATTTCAGCTATAATCTATATATAATGTGTTTTTTTCTGGATTTTTTGTTGATATTCTGTAAATAAACATACCATAAAAAATGTGAGTGCATGGGCAAAGTTACAAAATCAGCAGGGGATCACATAATTATTTTCTCCACTGTACTTTTAATAGAAAGTAATGTTACTTTTGCTTTGCCTTTTCTCATCTGGGCCTAGGTTGTTTTATATATATATATATATATATATTAAAGAAATATATTTGGCAAACGTTAAGACGAACATATATTTGTTAAGACGAAATATATTTGGCAAATGTTAAGAAGAATTCCATTCTTCCATTCCATTCTGCCATTCTGCATTGCAGAACAATAGGACGCAGGAAAAGAAAGTTCAACAGTTACACTCTTACTTCAGCAATACATAATTATAGGGTTAAACACAAATATAGGGTTTATCTAAAGTCATTATTGGATTAGTATGGTTGAATTGGATCACTGAATGTCAGCAGCAAAGACATCGGACACGTAATAAAGTGAGATTAAATACAGTACATAAGTATATCTGTGTATGTAATTTACCATATTTAATTATTACAGGTTTGCATAATATTCTGTGTGCAATTCACTTGTTCACTTCACTTTGAGGAATACTGAAAACTAAATACTGTTTTATTTGCAAGTGATATGATCAAATGCATGATCACATTTAGTCTAGATCTACAAAACCATCATGTTCACACAGCCTCTGCACTTACTTCACATAACATTTCCACAAAAATATTAAGCATGCAGCAACACCATTTTCGACATGATACTAAAGAGAAATGTTTCATGAGCAGCAAATCAGTGCTGAAGTAGTAAAATGTGAAAATAGAAAACAATTATATTTGACCCACTGATCTATATAATGACCAGTTTGGGTTTGAGTTCATTAAGAATTGCATAATCAAAATGAGAGCTTCACTTTCATTTGATTTTATTGATGCATATTATTACTTTGGTAAAACAATAAGCAAACAACAGGGATGTGAATGGTGTGAGGTGTTCTTCAATCTCAAAAACAACTCACAACCTTCACAGGGCCCTTGGTTGCCATGGTGACCACATAACAACAATCTCAGCCATGCACTGCAGGCCACAGGCATCATTCTAAGAACAGCCAATCAGCATTCAGAACACTGCTTCATGGGAAGAACTTTCTTTTAAAAGAAAAGCTCCGTTTAATTTTCCTAGACTACATTTGGTTTACAATCCTTTAAATTGTGACACGGCCACATGCAGAGCATAGTTGTATACATAATAATCATAATCTGAGAAATGGCAAAGTGACCCTAGCAAGACAGACACATTCATATAGTTTCTTCATAAACTACAAGTACAGATGACATGTCCTGTGTACTGTGTAGCAGACCTATTTGTGTGGGTGAAACTTTTGTTTGTAGCAAGCAACTATTCCACAAAGACTCACAAACCGTAGCAATCTGTCAGCAGCATCCTCCGCCAGCATGCACACAAACATACTCGCCGAGGGAGTCGGCTAATCTCCTGAGTGCAGTGCATTCTGCAGCATACGTTAATTAACCGCTTGTCTAGATCTCTGCCATCCATTCAGCGAGCCTGTGGTGAGCTCAGCCAAAAGCAACACGTATCCTATATATAGATCATGCACTGTTACTGCACTTAATAGGCTACATAACGGTGGCCACACACACACACACAGCGCTGAACAGGATTAATAAAACCAACAGTGAGCTCTAAAGCTCCTTATGGGCCAAGAAGATCCACAGTGTCTGTGGAAGAATATTTGTGTTGTGATAAGATAGGCCACAAGATCGACTGTAATGTAAGTGCAATGAAATGAATGTGTCACTTTCAAACCATGAGCATCTCTTTTGGGTTGACTTGGGAGATATTAGGTTAGAAGACATTTTTAGCACTGACACCAGACAATCTAGAAAGTATTATCTTTCATTTTTTTACACATCAGATGTGTAATCACACCTTTTTAATATAATATATATTAATATTATATAATATACCTGTAAATATAATTAGTCTATATTAAATTCTAATAAACAACAAATATAGCAGCATATTTCACATCACATAATACATGTTGAATTGTAATACAAGGCTACAAATTAATTAAACAATAATCAATGTTGTTTATAATAGTTGTATATGCCATGTCATCATGTTAACTTCCATTTACAGTTTCATAACTTGTTTTTACTTAATTACCTTGCTTGCATATTTACGACAAAAATGTCCAATGTTTATTGCATAATTCTGTCGGTCTATTATCTAACAAATTAATAAACACATCCAGTTTCTATGAAATTATATATGAAGTTCTTGTTTTTGTATGGTTAATATAAAGTTAACTTACATTTGTACAACTTGACTAATGAACAGAAGGTGGTAGTACCTGTTGATCAAGAGCAAAGCCCTTTGGAAAGTTGCGAAATCTCTAAATACAAACACTGTACTTTGAAACATGAAATTTGTTATTGTGGACTTTAATTAACAAGCAAAGTTCCACTGGTTGTAGTATTGTAGCAGGATTCCTTACCTTGGACATCTAAATACAGCTCTCTTCATGTGAATACATGAACTTCAGACTGTTTCCATGAGAGCAGCACACAAACTAACACCCCCAGCCCGTCCGTCCATCACCAAGCGACGGGGCAAACATGGACTTCACATCTGCTTCTCTACAAATGTAACTCAAGCTTCCATGTCCCTTTTACTTTTGTTTTGGTTCATCTCTTCAGCTCGAGCGAGTTTCTCGTGCGTTGGGTTGCGTTGCTCGCGCGAGCCAAAATCTCTATCACTCACTCCACGCGACTAGTTTTATTTCACTTCATACCTAAAAGTTTAAGTACAACGCGAAAAGTGCAATGTTTTTGAATTCTGGAGATGTCAACTTTATCTTTACTTTCAGAAAATAACCGCAAGCTACAACAAAGACGCTGGATTAATTAATTATGCAGTTAAGAAGAGCTAGACGTTGATTTGAGGGCGGGGCTTCGCTGTCAAAATCGACAGAACTCTGGATTAGGAGTTTTGATTGGCTCAACGGGTAAGAGGGCGAGGTTAAAAAGACCTAGGCGATTCATTTGGTTCACATAGGCTCTTTATCCAGAGCCGTACAATAACTTTACCCTGCTGAAACTATTAGACAGTCTCTCTTTGGGATGTCATGATGTAACCGAATACTGACAGAGCAACATGCTTATTTTAGTGTCCTAAATCTACGCACTGCAAAACGATTGTTGTGATACCATTATCAACCACATGATGGAGCCATATAACGACTTTTAGACTATGTAGAATTGCATGGACATTAGCTATTCCTACATACTGTGTTCTGAATATGTATCGTGGTTACAAAATTCTTGGAGCACCAGTAAATACCATATACCAAAAAATACCAAATACTATTATTAGCATCCACTGGTTCCGCAGTAAAAACAAAAACATGATTTTTATTCATAATATGGAAATAATAGTGTTTTTATTTATTGATACATTATTAAATTATAAAAAATATCACTTTGATGTTTTACTTTTTACTTTCAATTTATTTTAAACAAACAAAAAGAGACCTATATGCAAAATGAAGCCTGCAATAAATTATTTTCAGCCATGCGCTTATATGGTTAATGGGGCTTTCTGCATTGTACTCCTCTAATGGTTTTTCTCTGTGCTTTGACACCTAATGAATGAGAAACCACAAGATGCCTCCTGTTTGCAGATGACTAACCAGTCCAGATAATCATGTGTTTGTGTGTATAAATTGGTTTGATCAAATGGGTTTCAAGGCACACTACTAGGAAATAACTTCATATTTTAGCGAGGAGTGGGTTCCAATTAATTGTACAATATTTTACTGATTATAGTTAATGAGATTTGTACCTGCCACAAAGCACCAGGAATTGTGGGGAGATGAAGAATAGAAAGACAAAGGGGTTATTTTTCTTTCTTTTTTTCTGCATTTTATCTTTATTGGAAAATAAAACACACTTTCTGTATAAATACCATGGCTGTGAAGTCGCTTCTTTAAACTGTACAAGAGACAGGCAGACAGAGGAACAAAGGCAGCGGGTTGTTCAGGTAAAACAACTTTTAAAGGAATAAAATAAAATGACTAAACACATGGTTCTGTGGAAAAGAGGTTTCCTATAGTGTAGTTAAAATATGAAGGAATTATTTTGAAGCAGAAATTTCTCTCAAATGCTGTAAGTCATTCACAACACCAGCAGATATCAGCAAGATGAAGGGTCTCAAACTTTATTTTCTTCACTTACGACTGCAAAGACACGTCACTTATGAAGTCATAAATGTATTTTTGATGAGTCATCTAAACCTGCATTTGGCACTCTCCACAAATACACTTCATTTTGACTTTTTTTCTTCTTTAAAGCATTACCTCTATTTCCACCAAATGGTAATTTGCCCTGTCCTACACCTCAGAGGTCATGACCTTGTTAATGGTATCCAAGAATTAAAAACATAAATCATAATTTTAGCATGTTCAATAAATGACATTCATTGTACTGAAGATATTTAAATTATTAACGCATTTGAATGAAAAAAATAATATTTAGCTGTTTATCTTGCTCACATACATTTTTATAAATATGTTGAGTTGACTGTATTCATCAAGCTCAACCTTTAACCACTAGTTAATATAATTTTATTAAAAAACATTTTTTTCCAAACTATGAACTTTTAATTTAAGGGTAAATCTTCAATGCTGTTAATAATTCTGGTGTGTATTTCTTTTCTTTTTTTATTTGATAATTTTTTTTTATTTAATGTTTATTGGTGGAAAATCACACTCTAAAAAATGCTGGCCATATACAGTAGGGTTACATTTTTCAAATGACGTTTGTCCGTATTTTACCCAAAATTGGGTTAAAACAACCCAGCATTTTTTAGAGTGCATGAAATCAAGGTTGAAAAGTGTTGTTTTCTCATTATTTCTATACTATTATAGTATTTGTTATTTTGAATTAGCTTTTATTTGAATATTTTCAATTTTAGTCATTTTATGTGCTTTTGTCATTTTTTATTAGTTTTTTTAGTACTTAACTTTCTCAAGCTTACGTTTTTCATCTAGTAATTTTATTTCAGCTTTATTTCAATTACTCTAAATGATTTCAAGTCTTAGTTACTGATAATAACACTGAACTGTACTTTTACAGTAACCAATTTTTGTTCACAAAGTTACAAAAACAGCAAACCTCATTGAAAATGGACAGAAAATAAAAAGCTAAGTTGGCAAAAAAACAAAAAAAACAAAAACAAATGAGTATCATTTAATTTTTTTGTTTTTTTAAAACTTTTGAGGTCAAATCTGCAAAATGTTGATTCTATAAATCTGTTTGGGGACTTGTGAATATTTGTTTGTATGTATCTGAATGTCAGTACGGTCAGACATGCTTTGTTCTCTGATCTGTGTTCCTATCCTATGGAAAAAACACAGCAGCTCCACATATGCGCTAAACTGCTTCAATGGAATGAGATGCTGCTGCTCTCTCTCTCTCCAATCTCTCTCTCTCCTCGGATGCCCTTCATACTGATACCTTTGAGCACTCAGGACTTTGCCGTGAACGTCATCCGTGGGATGAACACTGAAGCAATGCTTTGACAAAAGAGCACATGTCATTCCTAATGCTGTCAGACAGGTGTGTGCAAAAGCAGAACTGAGACTTCACGGAAGAACATTTCACTGGATAAATTCTTTACTGCTTTCAGATGACTTATGCGCACATTTACCCAACTGCGGGAAGTAATTTAACAGATTAAACCAATAGGCAATAAGTAAAATAAACAAGAGATACAGTAAAATCAGAGCAGCAAATATTTCAAGATGATATTATCTTTTTTTTTTCCTTTTTTTTTTTTTTTTTTTTTTTTACAAATAATTTACCTAAAATATATAGATATAACCATATATACACTGTTCAAATGTCTGAGTCTAACAAGCAACACACTGTGTGGGTTGGTAGAGGAGTAAAATGGTGGCTTATGTGATCTGGGTGGGCTGCCATATTAGAGAATGTGGGCAGGTGGGAATGCTGTGCTTGCAGTCAATATTTCAAAACTTCAAGATCTTTCTCTCTCTCTCTCTCTCTCTCTCTCTCTCTCTCTCACACACACACACACAATCACCTCAGCTCTGTGGGACCGTTTCAGACGCTGCCTCTGCATTCAAAGCCAGACACACTTACACAGACACACATTACAATAACACCATTTCTCAATTTCCTCTCCCACTCGTTCCCCCTTATATAATATGACTGACACATTGTTGCTTTGTGTCACCACCTCTTCCCAGTCTGATCTTTTTTTTTTTCATTTTCTCAATGCATCAATCAGATCCCTAACGGAAGATCTAAACTTTTCATTAGTTTCGATGGCTGCTTGTCTCTGATTGCAATGTCAAGTTCCTTCTTCGCCTCTCATAACTGGATAAAGGGTCTCCTCATTTTCTCGCTCCATTTAAATAAATCTAAAAGGATTTTTCTTTCTGAGACTCTTCACAATGGTGGCATGCTGTCAAAGGCTCTTCTCAAAACCCAGTGAGCAGCCTTGCTGTCAATGGCCTATATAAAACACATCCTTACTGAAACTAAAGGGACAGTTTATTCAAAAAGGAACAGTTTGTCATCATTTACTCACCCTGTATGCCTTTCTTTATTCTTCTGAAAACAAAATAATACATTTTGAAGAATGTGGATAACCAAACAGTTGATGGACCCCATTGACTTCCATTGTATTTTTTTTCTCCATTGACTATGGAAGTCAATGGGTTCCATCAACTGTATGGTTACCCATATTTTTGGGTGAACTATCCCTTTAAATGGACTGGCACAAGCTCAAATAGCACACAGCGAGACTCGATTTGACTTCATTAGTATGCTGCTATGCTACAGTAAATGTTTTAAGCAATACTGAATTAATTCGATTTAAAAAAAAATGAACATTTATTGCTTTGTCCAACATTTTTCCTGCTTTGTACATCTCAGTGAATTCTGAGATTGCCTTCTATGAAGGATAAATCAGAGCTCAACAGTAATGTTTTCACTGGCCTGAACACAAAAAATTATAGTGAACATAATTTCTTTATAATAAATATGAAAAAAATTATACAGGAAATGCTGAGACAACCATAAATTCAAAAATAATGATATACCCTACCATTCAAAAGTTTGGGGTCAGTAAGATTTTAGTTTTTTTAAAAGAAATTATACTTTTATTCAGCAAGGATGCATTAAACTGATCAGAATTGACAAAAAAAAAATTGATTTCTTTCATCAAAGCATCCTGAAGTATCCATGAAGTATGAAATATTAAGCAGCACAACTGTTTTTAACATTGATAATAATAAAAATGTTTCTCGAGCTGTAAATCATTATATCAGAATGATTTCTGAAAGATCATTTGACACTGAAGACTGAAAATTCAGCTTTACAGTCACAGGAATAAGTTACATGTTAAAATATATTAATTAAGAATATTGATATTATGATATTTCACAATATTACAGTTTTTACTGTATCTTTGATCGAATAAATGCAGGCTTAGTGAGACTTCTTCGAAAAACATAAAAAAAAATATGACGCCACATATTTTGAATGGTATGGGACAGTGTCAGTGAGGGATCCTTATTGGTGAGCTGTGATGAACGTGTTGTTGCCTTAAAATTTGGCCAAAACAAGCTCTTCTCTTCACATCAGAAGTGCCTGCTGTCTTAAAATGCTGTCTACGTAGGCAGCTCACTAGGTATTTGAACAGAGTAGCAATCTCTGAGGACTCCAGCATTTCTGTCCTAATGACTGATTGCCATGGTTTAGTAATTACTGCATGACGCACAAAAAAACCCCAAAACAGCACAAACAATAATAAAATATTGAAACCGGCTGACTATTTCAAAAAAGGCAGATAACAGATGTTCCAGCAGTTCTCTTCACAGCAAACTGGAATGAGAAGCACTTTAGTTTAAATTTCTATATAGTCACTATTTACTAGAATCAGTAGTTATGTCCACCTCATAAACTTTACACATAAACACATTTTATCCATTTGCACATATTTCTTAGAAAATAGCTATGACTTTAAAAAAAAACAACGATGATTTCCATGACACGTTCATATGCAGATCCAAGCCTAATGAAGAGTCTCTTGTGGTCAGGTGACCAAATCTCACTATATTAGAAGCTCAAGGAATAAGCCAACTGAAAAGATGGTCCAATCATCTAAAACAAACCGGCCAGAACCGACTGAACTTTTACTCTATCCTGGCATTTTCCGCTGTAAAGGTCAACATGGGGTTGGTCCACACAGGATGGCCTTTCAAACAGTGACTGGTTTCAAAACATCACAGAAGAGGATGAGCCGAAGTGTATGAAATGTTACAGGATTCTGGGGGTTAATCATGGCAAGACATGTCGAGGCGTGTCCCAGTGCTTTTTATTCAATTCATGGGACTCGTCCGGTCCTATAGAGCCACGTTGAACTCTGTGATCAAGAAGTCAATGTAGTCCTTCTCTTTGGTTTTAAAGGCCTCCGCTATGAGACGTGCAGCTTCCCGATGTTCCTTTCCTCTGAGAGACACGCCGTTCACCTCTAGGATTACCTGACCCACCTTTAGCTGTCCACAGTTATGAGCCGAACCACCTCTCTGTGGGGAAGAGAATGAGAAACTTTCATTATGTGACAGACTGGCAGAGTTTACAGAAGCGGGAGTCGGTTGTCAGTCTATTTCAGTTCTAAATACAGTATACAGTCACACACAGTTTGGTGTGGCTGGTACTGTAGTTCTTTCTCTGAAGAGAAAGTAAAAAATGGATTTCAACTGGGAAATCACAGAAGGATGTAATCAGCGGAGTTGAAAATTAAACTAGTAAATCCATTCATCACTGAGTGATCCCAGGTGGAGAACTGATTGATAATTTGCTGAAAACCCAGTTTTAAAGACATTGCTCGACTCTGAAATTAACTTGCTCATTTTAGTAAACATTAGGGGGTACTGATCGTCCCATTCTGTAAGTTCATACGTAGCAGTCTGGTCAAGAACTATCTAAGAAAACACTGCACAACCACACATCACTTATTGTGACTTGCAAAGGGATCTGTGTTGTTATTGTTAAATAAAACTAAAACTATTAAAAATTAAACATTTCACCATTTCATTAGATTAAACTATTGTCAGACGTTTGGTTTAACTTGAGGGAATTATGACATAAATATATTAGTATTGGACAGTAGAATGTACTTTTTTACACTATAATAATAGTTTATTAAATCATGATTTTTATAGGGGAAAATCAAGCAATTTTAGTTTTAATTTAAACTGCACTTCTATTGAGCAGAGCTTTGTTTACCAAAAAAAAATTAAGTTGTTGTTTAAATTTAATTTGATTACATTGTAAATGATAAATTAAGTATATTTCTCCTAAACTTGTACTTTTGTAATCTTTTGATTGAGATAAAGGCTACTTAAAAGTGTAAGTAGGCTATACTTGGCTTGTACAGTTGTTTTTACTCTTTTTTTCCTGTTGTCATTCAAGTGTTGATAAAAAAAAGGATGCATGTATACAATAAAATGCAATAAAATGTTTTTAAATGTGTAAAGAGTTAAAAGTACAGTTAAAGGTACATTACAAGTATAAAAAATAATACCCAAATAAGGAACAGTAGTATACGACCCCCTAACTGGCTATCCTTTCAATAAATTCAAATTAAAGTGCAAAAACTAAATGTATATAAATAGTAAACTATAAGTACTAGTAGTTAAATGAAAGTGCACTTCTAAGTATACTTTCATAACCTAAAGAAATGTGCTAGAAGTATTTTACATACCTACAAGTTCACTCTTGTAAACTAGCTGTGTACTCAAAGTGTACTATTGTTACACTTACTAAGTAGCAATGTCTATATTAAGTAGAACTTCACTTAAAGCCCCCTTGTAGTCAATAATTCTATCCCTTAAAACACATCTTTGATCACCAAAAAATACATATTTAAACGTTTTTTTTTTCCTGTGAAAAAAAAAACGTCATACCTTAAAATAGCTTAAATGAAACTCTACACCCTTGCTTCATTTAGTAAACGCAGATGTATGAATATGCTAATTAGCCCCGCCTCCACTCCCGCCAGCTCGGATTCACTCGGTCATGGTCAACTTACTGAGATAAACTCTACACAATGGTATCGCTATTTACAAAATCGGACACATAACAGTGATGAATATGATCAGCCTTTTGCTTGACTGTTATCAAACTGCTAATAATGCATTGCTAATATTACACAAACCATGTTCGCCAGTCTGACTTCTACATCAGAAACACTTTACACAGAACGTTAGTGGAAAAAGGCATTTAATTCATTATAACAGTGTAATATACTTCATACACCCGCTATATTGCTTAATTCACACGATTTTAAATATCAACGAAAAAATATATAATCAAGATAACCTAGCAAGACTCCCCTGCTAGTTCGCTGTTAATGATATGCTAAAGTCCCCCAACACATTGAGGTGATTGGTTACAAGGTAGTTTGTGACGTCAGAAACACCAGAGATTTCAAACCGTGTTTTTGAGTCTTTTAAAGAGAAAAGACATTAAAAACACCACATAGACACATTAAAAACATTAAAAGCTTGATTTTCACCACAGGGGGGAGTTTAATCAAAAGGACTTGAGGGTCAGAGCATGACATCACGTACGCAACAGGAAGTAGTAAACTAATGGATGCTAAAATGTCACCCACTTAGATCTCACCAGCACCCCGTCTTCTTTAATTCAATGCCTGATATTGATCGAAACAAAAGAGCACCACATTATCTAATCCACAGCTACTTTTGTTGTTGGATTTTCATTATGATGCTGATAAACCGCCTGCAGCGGGGAATTAAAACCATTAATTTCTCTTATAGTCCTTTATTTGCCCAGTCTCTCCTGTTCCCCTGCTCTTCGTATCTCAATATTTTATTGTGAAGGAGCTGGTTTGATGCTAAATCAAAGGCAATCAGTTGCAACTGTTATTTCAGCCTTCCCCTCCTCAGAACACACTACACTTCACTCTTTAGGGTGGACACAGAAACAGAGAGAGCCTTTCGCAAATCATCAACTCAGTCTTAAAATTGCACACCTAACGGTACCCATTCTCACAAGCCTAGTCAACAGGGTGCTTGAGATTTTTAGTAAAAGAAAACACAGAATCAGGAAAACTCGGATGCCACAATGGCGTCAAACAGCAACAACCTTTTCTGCTCTACACTACAAGTGGAGGTCAATGTACTGCTGTGCTCATTTAATTCACTCATACATAGACCTTTATATGACTGATGGAAGTAAGCTCATGATTGGTACTCATTCTGTTTCTGTCAGTCTCAAACTATGGTTTTTAAATTGTACAAATCAACTGTAAAACCTTGCGGCCGCCCCATAATATGAAGAACCACAGGGTACTATTGTGATTCAGCAGATTCAGTATTGAAAATGTGTGGCACTTACCCATACAAAAGCCATTGCCATGTTGCTAGGATGTTTGCCAAGGTGCTGTTCTGTTGCTAAGTGACATTTCAATCGGTATGTGGTTTCTAGGGTTTTCTGGGTGATTGTTTACTAACCCCAGTAAAATGCCCACCAACAAGTTGCTATGATATTTTGGTCCCTAGCTCTTGCTACCATTTTACCAGGAGACAATAAACCAAAAATGAAGAGGACATATCTCTCCTCAAGCTTCCCAATTTGAGGTGTCGTCCAATTTTAAGAAGCTTTATGTCTAAACAAATGCATATAAAAGATGTTCAAATCATGTTCACTCAGATATGAGTAACCAAATAAAAGCTGTTTTATTTCACATGCAGTGGGCCTTCTTGTGGGAGCATCACATGACCATCAAATTATAATTTACTTTACCCCAGTAACCCCTTCTATGATTGGACGCTTTTTCTCATGAAAAAACAAAACAAAAACTATAAACATATAAACATAGCTGACAAAAAAGTGACTGTTATCATCTAGGGATGTAACCACAATATATCGCAATATAAAAATACAACAATACATATCGTGAATAGTGACAATACGTATTGTGGATAGTCCCCCCCAAAATAAAAATGACTGTGTTAGGAAAAGTTGTCAGAATTTTAGTGTCAGTACTACATTAAACTATAATGTTGATTATAATGTATAACAATACAGTGGGGGAATATTTGTGGGTCCTGATAATGCCTCAGTCCAAGCCAATTCATTTAAACTGACAATGTAATATAAAATGTAGCATTTTAATCAACAGTGCATTTTTTGTCAACCTTTTATCATATGTCTATTATATATCGTGAGCTCAGTATCGTGATATGTATCGAATTGTAACATGAGGGTATCGTTACACCCCAGTATCATTTCTGCACTGCAACATCCATGTCATTAGGTGTCAGTATAAATCCCAAACAAAGCAAAAAGAATAAACAAATAATAGATTTTTTATATTTTAACAAGTATAAGCTCATATTACATTCACATGTCAACATTTATTCCGTAAACATTCCGTAAGCAAGCTCTATACTGTAGGTGTGTTCCCTCTGGGGGCTCATGACCTTTTCGACCCCCAAATTATATTATTTCAGATAATATAACCCTGCATATAATAGAACACTGTTAGGGCTACTCACTTGTATGGTAACAATGCGTGGGAGGGGCTGCCGTGTGTTTGCCCCGCCTTCTATTGCAATGCCCAGAGTGCTGGCACTTTTTGCCACTCTCACTAGAGAGGAGGTCGGCTCCAACAGACCCGGCTGCAAGGTAGATTTAGAGACAGATTAGAGACAGGATGGGAAAAATGAGGAGAGAGCTAGAGAGAGAGAGACAGGAAAGTAGCAAATCAAAGAGAGGGAGAGAGAGAATGAAAGAGAACAGAGATAGGAAGACACATTTGGCTTTGATGATAGACATTGCTTTGTGTCTGACAACCTAAAATAAGGCCACAGGAAGTGGCTTGTGCCCCAGCTCACTGTCCTCAGATGGCACTATTAGTTCGATCTATGAGAACAACAACACAGCTCATGCGTATAAGAAAAGCCGAGAAGCATTACAGCAAAAGGACCGCCAGAAGGAAGATGGACGCGTCTTGACTCAGCACACTGAGATTGGTTTTTCAGAGAGCTGTTGGATCAGTGATATGAGATGAGATGAAGTGGAAGAGTCAACAAAGAAAGAACACATAAAAACTAAAGAAAATGTATGTACCAAAAGAAGAAAAGTGAAAATTAATTGTTAAAAGTCAAGCACTCTCAGGCACAGGGAGAGGGAGGAGACAGATTTACGTGACTGCACTCTTCTGTCAACACTCTTTCACTCTCATTCACACTTTTAATACCATCCCTCTGTCACTGTCATTAACTCTCACACACCCACCTCTCTCTCTTTCTTTCTCTTTCTCTCTCTCTCTCTCTCTCTCTCTCGGTCTCACCGGTTTGGCAGATGTTTCTCCTCCTCCGTGCCCATCCCGTGGGGCTCTAGTCCGGGCGGGACGTGGGCTGCTATCCTTACTTAGACGTCCAGATTCAGCAATATCTACACCGCTGTCCTCGCTGAGGGTCTGTCCGCTGTCTGAGAGCTGGGACAACGTCCCTCCTGAAAGAAGACAATAAGCAAGTTTAGATGCAGTTAGAATCGAGCCACAGCAGGGTTTTAGTGTAGTCGAGCTGCAGTCTCCATCTGTTTGTCCAAAAAAATGCATGACAACACGTAATGGAATATATATATATATATATATATATATATATATATATATATATTAGTCCAACATTGCAAAAAACAGATTTATGTATGAATACACTACACTTTTGCCAGGATTTTTGGTTCTGATTTGCAGTCTGGAGGTTCTATTTGAGTTGACAGATTTTACAGAAAATTATTAGTATATGATTGGCACAGACTTGAGTTTTTAGCTTCAGGCTATGATTCTATCTGTTAGAGGATATCAAACATGTTTTAGATTTTGAGCTGATTTTAGAACACCTATGCAGCATCCAAAATCGCATAGTGTCTGAGAAGGGACTATTCGTTAAAACAGTGTGATATATAGTATGAATATGGGTAGTATAAATGAAATTCGGACATACTACATCTGGCAACCGGTATGTTGTTACTGTTATATGACCTACCAGCATCAGTTGCATCGGTTCACTTCCATTCCTAAATCCTCTCCCATGCCCTTATGGGATAGTAAAGTGCCCATCGCCCATACACACTTCAGAATTTCGGTGGAAGTACTGTAATATGTCATTCGAGGACTTTTGGCCTAATGTTTCTCAAATACTATTGCTGCGTCCCAATTTGCCTACTTATAATTTGCCCTAAAAGTATGTACTGTTTTTGTAAAGAAAAAGAACATAATTTTTGAGCGTTTAACAGCTTTGGAACATACTACTACATAAATATCATAATTGCGTCTCTAACGGACAGCTCTGTCGCTTAGTTACATGCATTATGTCAGCATTTAAACTATATTGTCACAGTTAAAATCCTCCACATTCAATTTCATTTAATTTCCTACAGTTTCGGACTGAAATGTAGCAGCCATTAATCTGCCAGTTGTGGGTCTTTCATGAGGAGAGTCTTGCATAACGATGCAATTAAAAGTTAATGACCAAACATATCTTTATAAAAGTTTACAATGTTGTTGCAGATGAAATATAATGTGGATAACACTGAATAAATATATTTTCATCAGGTTAGATACTCACTAGAGAGGAGGACACTTATTCAGGACAGCACAACATAAAAAAAAAAACAAGCAAGTTTTTTTTTTTTTACAATCCCTCTTATTTTGAGGGATTTAACATTGCAGATTCTGCAAGGAAAGTGATTCAATTATTGATTTTTTTTATATATCTGCCTGACAAAGGTGTAAAGTCCAGGGGTCAGAAAGTAAAGGTCCTGCCATATGTTTATTCCACCCATGAACTCAGCCAGCTGATTTCACTAATTATCTCCTGGCTGAAAAACTGTGCTAATTAGCAAATCCAGGTGATTGGAACAAAATACTGAGGAGGACTTTTACTTTCTGAACCTGGACTTCAGACCTCTGCTGGCTGAACTGTTTCCTTTAACATTGTGGATTAGGGATGTTAACCGATGACCGTTTGACCGATGGTTGACCGTATCAACGTTAACAGATCAATGTTGTCGGTAGTCGGTAAAAAATCTGGCGCGAGGTCACAGCGTTTGGGTTCGCGCACTCACAAGATTTCCGAAAAGTAAAGGCTTCAGGCTAAAACACTCGAGGTTAGAGCCAGGGCAGACAACAGGATGAAGCGTGCAAAGCAAATAGTGTGTGGGACCATTTCACCAAAAAGAATGACACAGATGTAAATTGCTGGGCATAGATTTGGAAATACATAACATCTACATAACAGATAAGGTGATAATGACAATCATCTTTCTTTATTATTGTTAGCACTAACATTAATGTTACCTCAAACTAAAGCGGCGTCTCTTCGGAGCTGTCATTTTCTTAATTGAGCCACGGCAATGTTTCAAATGAGCTTCTAACGCTAGACTACCGCTTTTATTTTCAACGTGATCACCTTATACCCACACCATTTCCAAACTAATCCTCCGATTACATACAAGCTCCTTGGCGCCGCGTTTGCGGGACTCATGTTTCGTGCTGTATGGGGATTTTAAAAAAGTGACATGAGTGGAAGGCTGGTGCCGGGGCAGTGTGTGTGTGTGTGTGTGTCTGTGTGTGAGCGGCAGAGTGATGCGACAGAGTTGTGAAATTGCAGGCGCGGCTCAAAATGGCTATTAGCGTAGCATATTTTAAACCAATCAGTTAACCAGTTTCAACCGGCTAATGAGGCTCGGTGGTCGGTCAAGAAAATTTTTAGTTTTTCGCCATCCCTATTTGCGGATAATGACTTTTTAGCCATTAAATGAGTGAAAATAACCAAATTGAATAGAAATCGGCAGCTGGTTAATGAGATATTAAATATTCCCAGCTGCCCCACAACGCATCAAATCTGTGCAGTCTCACCTCGTGCCTGTGGCAGCGGCCGCACCTCGTTCACATCAGGTTCTGCGTTGGGCCTGTGCACCTCCACCATGACAAAATGCTGATTGGATGCTGGGGACGAAGGGGCGGGTTTATCTGGGCAGGGGGGTGGAGGAGGAGGAGGTGGCCCAGGCGGTGCAGGTACATTAGGGGCGGGCGGAGGATTCGGAGACGAGGACTTGACAGCAGGCTTCCCCTTATTAGGAGACTGGACCCGAGGGAATGGTCCGATAGGGTGCTGGCTCATGATCTTGAGGGTGTCAGGAGGAGAAGTGCGATGTTTGGGAGTTTTTGGGTGTTTGGGTTCTTTGGTATGGGAACGAGAAGGGGCGGTGAAGTACAAGCCCGATTGGGAGGAGCTGGAAGAGTGACGTTTACTAAGTGTGGATTTTCGACTGGGACGGTGCTGAAGCCCTGGGGGAGGAGGGGGTTTAAAGGAAGGAGGGGAATCAGAGGTGGAATGAACCTCATCCTAGGATGAAAGAGGAGAGCATTAGTGATGACATATTTCAGGTTATATTTCAAAAGAGATCAAGAAAGCATTCCGCATTCAATAACAATCATCGAATCTTACAATGCACCATTTTCACATACTTCATACACACATAAAACATACGACAATGACGCACAAGTAATTTATTTGAGGACAACAACGATTTCTCTCAGAACAATCGGTTCATTCAGACCAAGAGGCAAAGCAAGAAACAAAAAAACAAAACAAAACAAAACAAAACGAAAGAAAATGAACAAACTAAGGTTGAACAGGGTGAGCAGAAGCCAGATGGATGAGGTGTCAGTGCCATCAGAAAGTAATCAAACCAAGATGTGAGTCGTCTGTGTGGTTTTTATCTAGGCCTAACATTCTTTGGAAATGTTACTTTCACACGCTTCAGAGTTGTTGCCGTCTGCACCTGATCGAGCTGTGCTGGCGCTTCATCAGTTTATCAACAGCAAACTCTCCGAGAAAGACCCTAATCTTCCTCAGCCATCTCTCTCACAGCGAGCAGTGTCATCATCTCCTTTATTTCTCTCCTTCACTCCTTCCTTCAAACAACCATCAACTGTCTGAGTAGCCGAGCCTTTAGAACCGTTTGAGATAGGGCTGGGCGGCATGACAGTATAAAGTGTGTCAACCGGTAGAGATTTTGCTATACTGTGGCACAGTCGATGTGCAGGACTGCTTAATGTACGTTATCTTCACTGTGACAACAAACATGGAGTAATGTAAAAATAAGGATTTAAGACTGAAGGATTAATCATTCTGGTGCATGCAAAGCCCAGTTCAGTTAGTTTAGTTTAGTCCTGGTCAGAATTATTGGCACTCTTGGTAAATATTGTCATGAATCGCTCCTCCGTGGCTCTCTCCGCTCATCATAGAGCTCTGTCTCCCGAGTATTGAACTGCATTTCCCATAAGCCCCGTACCTAGGGTTAATCACCGGCACAGGTGTTCCCTATTTACCCTCCTATATAAACAGCCCGCTGACTCTCAATCAGTGCGAAGTCTTGTTTTGCCCCGGCGACATTTCTGAGCGTTTTCCCCTGTGTTTATCTGAATTCTCTGTGTATCGACCCTCGACTGTTCTTGGACTGTGATTCTCCGTTTTCTGCCTGCCCTGACCATTGCCTGTGTTTCTGGATTACGACCCTTGCTGCCTGCCCTGACCCTCGCCTGTCTCTTCTGGACTTTGATCCTTGCTGCCTGTCCTGACCCCTGCCTGTCATCGGTGATTCTTGTGGATTGTCTGTTATACATTTATGCTGATCGTTGACCCGTGCCTGTATTACTATTCTTAATAAATCTACACTGCATATGGATCCGCACGACTCTGCCTCTCCATTACAAATATGAACAAAGAAGCCTGTGAAAATATAAAAAAAATATAAAAAGACAATCATTTTGACCTTTTATTAAGAGTTTAAGTAATCTGACCAATACAGAAATACAGGATGGGTCGGATATAATGACCATCCTGATCTTAAATGCTAAATTCAATCATTGTCTCTGTGTCAGTTTGTTTTGGAACCTAAATTATACATTTAATAAATTCGTAATCCCACAATATAAAGGGGAATAAACTTTCACTCATAATAATTTATATGGATACCAGTAACTAGGGCCAATGTGTATAAGAGAAAAACATTTATTTCATAATTTAAATCCGCCCCACATTGATTAATTTTACTTCAGTGGAAGGTTAGATTTTTTTTTTTTTAAAGGATAAACAATGCAGATTTATTTTCACAGCCTTCTTTGATTATATTTACCAAGGATGCCAAAAATTCGGACCTCAACGGTAGATATTACAGTATACACACGCAAAATGACTTGAATTACTCTACCGTAACATAACATTGGTCATACCACCCACCCCTATATGTTGACAGTTTCATACAAAAGCCATCATCGCACTGGTCAAAATCTGCCCGTGGTAATTTTCAATGTGTTCAATGCCAGTTCTCGCAATGTCATCCATCGCACACCTATAACACTCTCCTTTTCTCTGTTCTCCCTCTTTTATCTTTCCTGTTCTCCTCAAACTGAAGGGCTTACCAGAGAGATGTCTGGCAGGGCATTGCTACGCTCGAGAGACTGTTCCCCGTTGTTCTCTGCCACACCGTCGTTCTGGGAGAGAGAAAAACAAAAGAGAGAAAAACGAGAACAAGAGACTATAAACAAATGAAAAACACAGCGGTGTGTTTATCCCCGAAACAAATGTTCGATTCAAATTGCATTTTGTTGAGGGCCCATTTCATAGGGCGGCATCAAAACAATTGCATTTACCGACCTATATTTCAATCTCACATCCAGCCTGATTTTCAGTCCAATACTCGTCTCTCACAAACAAACACATATCGCACAGAGAGCAAGAAAAGCCCTGATTTGGCTTGTGCATGTGCTCAGTTGCAATAAAAGAGAGGGGATTTTATGACCTCGACGGTTCATTCAGACCTGTGATTCACCTCATTTAAACTCCTCTCGACCAAAACAAAAGCCTCATCAATTCAATTTATTTCCTTGCACACCACTTACAAGGCTAATTTGTTTGCTTCTTGATCAGCTAAATTTTTTAATGTGTTTTGGTTGTCAATCATGCAATTTTTGTGCTTTTTTTGCTGTGTATTTGTATGTGTCATAATTCACATATAACACCTCTGTTTTTAACATTTGAAAACAGTTGAAATTATTTGTAAAAAAAAAAAAAAGGTATTAGAAAAAAATCGACCATAATTATTTTCACATTTATAGGCTGTGGATTGTGAAATAATAGCAAGACATGTCTTATTATTGTCTTACTATTGAGTTGTCTTCATGAAGTGCATGGAGAAAAATCAACATACAATGCGAACAAATGACTTGTTATGGGTCGGTAGTTATGAGTTATGAGTTGTGAGTTAGTAGGTGTTCAAAAAAGTTCACCAATTCACCCAAAACATGTTTTTCCATTTCACTGTGCAACTTTTCCATTGTTGCACAAGAGACTAGAGTAGACGGACGTGCTTGACCTTTGTGTTTGCGTCTCACGGTAAGACCGGCATTCTAAAAAAAAAAAAAAAAAGTATAACCATACGTTAAAAATGGAACTCAAATTAGAAAAAGTTCAACCATACGTTAAAAATGGTACTCAAGTTAAAAAAAGTTCAACCATACGTTAAAAATGGAACAAGTTAAAAAAAGTTCAACCATACGTTATTTTCGTTACACTTTACCTTTTTAATAGTGGTCGACCAACATTTCGGCAAGGTCCATATTTGGCATTTTTTAAATATCGTCATTGGCCGACTAGTTTTTCTGTTTGGCAATTGTGTCAGAAGCTTTTTTTTTTTTTTTTTTGACGGTGCCTGAGCACACAGTGCCTCCATTCTCCATCTTATTAGTTTATGGTCTTTGTTTAACAGTCCCATCTAATACATTATTATATAGAACTGTTAAACAAAGAAAATAAATGGTATACAAAAAATGTATTATAGCATTTGCTTTTATATTATTAGTAATAAAAAGGCAACATAATACTTTTCATTTACAGTCAGCATTCAGAAAATAGGCTTTTATATAATTTAAACAAATCTGTGAATATTTAAAGCAGCACTATGTAGCTTTTTCAACCTTTATAATATTTTTCCAAAACCTTGAGATGGTACATTGACTTACAATAGGTTGATTGACAGGTCTGCCATAGCCTGACAGTGTCTGTATCTCTATTACTGGCACTTTGTAACTTCAAGGAGCGGGTAGGAACCCGAGCACAAAAAGAACTACAAAATTTGACTGCTGTACGGCATGCGTCACTTCCCCCACTTCCTCAAATTCTGACGCGAGAACCCAAAAAGCGTTTTTTTTTAACCTCTGTATGTTGTCATGGCTGAAACAGTAAGTAAAACCAAGAAGCCGAAGGTTTTGTCGGAGAACAGTAGAAAGGGAAAAAGGGAGTGGATCGATATTGGTCCAGCGTTAGCTCGACTCAGTTAGCGCCGGAGCCACTCATCCATAGGGTTCGCCAAAATGAGCGAACGAATGATTTTTTTTATACTAATACTATTTTAAAAACATTAATTCGTAATACTACTCAACAAAAACGTAACTAAGTCCCCTGACTTCGGTCCGGTGAGTCAATCTTCCCCCGCCTAGCAAATGTGAAGTTTGCCAGAAACAGCGAGCGCGCGATCAGTTTACTGTTGGTAATGTGTTGTGTAGTTTTCCCCTTCCACATCACATCCAATGTAGACTGCATTGCTTTCTTTTGAGGGCGCTTAACACACTCATCCCCTTAACACACGCATCCCCGTAGAGCCGGGGCGGGCAACTCGCGCCAGCTCGAGATGTGAAAGTATACTGATTACTGAGTTTGGTAGGGGCTACATTCTTGCAAGTAAATAATACATGATTAGACAGACAAAATAATCAGCCAGGATAACTAGCCTATGTATGTAGGCTGATAGTGATGTTTGTTATTTATTTTTCTGGTGAAAGTGTCTTGCCTCAGGCTGTAATGCAAATCGATTTTTCAAATTTGCAGATTCATCTATGGTAGTTTGATATTATAATATTGACGATATGGCTATTATCTACCACACAAACATTGAATTGAATTAGCATACCCATTATGTAAAACAGTAGCCAATAGGATAACGTTACTATAAAGACGCTGGCTTGTAAATGTGAGCTACAAACTTTGAACCCTTGATTTCAAACCATGTTGCATTATATTCAGTTGCCCTCCTCTGTCAAATTGATGCCATTTTTACAGTGTGATATTTGTAAAATTAGTCTTTACCAATTTCTTTATTTGAAAAAAATATGATTCCCAATGTGCACAAACGTGATTACCGAGTGCCTTGGTAATCCTACATTTTTTCAACAATTTCTTTATTTGTGAAAAAATATGATCTGTAAAAAGACTGTAATAAGATCTCAGAATCAAGAAGTTGCCATTTAAAGTATGAGCCTATATAAGTTTATTTGACAGATTTAGTTTTAAATTCATTTTCAAATGATTTAGATCTAATTTATTAAATATGAATATCAGCTTTATATCGGCCACCCTGCTCTAGCATCTAGATACTAGCACCCGCATCGGCCATCAAAAAAATCAATGTCGGTCAACCACTAGATTTTACCAACAAAAACATGTTCTGTGTGAACGGCCCTTACCATTTAAAATCAGTCTGATGAATCATTTAATGAAATTAATCCATTACAGGATTTACTGAATAAGGAACAAACTCATTTACTGAATATAACAGAATCAAATTTTAAATAAATAATGAGAATGATATTTGAGTGACCTGTGCAACAATTAGCCAATGACATCAAACCACTTTTGACCCATATGGCAAATCTGGCTGGACGCAGTCATTCATTTTTTCTTCAAATCTTCAAACTAAAACAGACAGAAGAGCAAACTCAGAGAGCACAGACATTGTACTGTGCTGGCTCAGGTCCTTCACCTTCTCACAATTCCCTACTGTGCTTCACTGGAGCATAAATCAGGATGCTCTCTGTGAGACTTCTTTTTTTTTTTTTTTGTCTGGGGGGCCTTATCTGCGGTGACAGCTCTGCATATGGCTGATGAGGTGCGGTACCAGGATGAGAGTCCCAGAGCGAACGTTTCGTCTGCGGTGCTCCGCAGGGCTACGGTGTGGGCCTCCGCTGCTTCTTGTAATTACTGGAGCCCGAGCTGGCAAGCTTACAACAACACCGATCCACAGAGGAAGGCCACGAACAAAGCTTGCATACAAATATGTTCGCTCATTTCCAAAGTGCACACACACACTCATCTAGACAAATGACCCATGATGAAGAGATACAAAGTCAAAAAGGACACATTTTTGATTTGCTACATGCATGCAGTTACTCTATGTCTGATCACTGCAACCCACACACATACACACAGACGTGAGGGATTTTCAGAGGGATCAACATGCAGAGAATGTAGAATGTCCTTCTTGTATGTGTGCATGAGTATTCAAAAGAAACCAAAGATAGAATTAGCAAACTCATTCTTTAATATGTGTGTGTGTTTGCGAAAGAGACACACCCAACCCCAAAACACACAAACTATTTACTATATGCATGTACGTTTGTGATCATGCATATTTATATACATACCCTTACAAAACTTTACCATAATAACCTTATTTTCCACTAAGACTTCATATAGGTATTAAAAAAGAAACTATAATTTGAGTGCCCCTGAATCAATTCTAGGGTGTTGTGGGTCATTGCTAAGGTGGTTTAATAATAGTTGTTTTTTTTTTTTGTTCTATGCTGTTGCTAACAAGCTCTAAGGCCACGTTCACACGAAGTTACCTATCCGATTTTTTTTCCTCGTTCTAAAAAGAAAATCCGTAAACACAACGTTGTCTAAAGACATATCTGTGTACACACGAAACCACAGAAACCAACTGAAAATGGTGTAGTATATATGCCAGACCAGTATGGGGCGCTGTAATTCTGCCACAGAGATACACTATACACGGAGAAGAAGACTTTGAGAATGCGCATAACCAGAGAATGTCTAATTGAAGAGAATTGGCACTGGCTGGTTACTTCCGGTTTCTGGACTGGCTGCAGTAACACGTCTTTGTCCATGCGGGGGCGCTCGCGGTCGAGTGCAGAATGAATGGGAGTCAATGGGGTTTCACCCCTAGAAATCCACTTTTCTCAGGATGTAATTTTTTGTCAAGTAATTTTAAAGTTGCATTCAAAGGGGAGGGCTAAGATAATACACTCAGCTGAAAATTGCATTTTTAAGTTCACTTATCTGTTCTAAAAATCCGTTCAAAACTGTGATGACGTCACACAATAGCAGAATGCTAGCGTGTTCCGGCCAACAACGGCCTAACCTGTAAGAAATCAAAAGAACATAAGTACTCATTCATTCAACTTTTTGGCCTATAATCTATATTTAACTTGCGGAATCAACAATAAAATCTATATTGATTTAACGACAAGCAGGTGAAAGAGACACATTTAGCCGTTTAGCCCCATAGACTCCCATTCATTCTGCACTCGCCCGCGATCACCTCCAGTGGAATTCTAATGGAACTGCAACCAAGATGATGCACAATGGGGCTAATAGGAAGTGCCAAGGCTCTCTGTTAGACGGGCTCTGGAATGTGCATAACCTTGCGCGCTGTATACGAACCAAGAAGAAGAAGAGGAAGATGGCGTGAGGCAGCCGACACGTGATGTGATGACATCATCATTTCACAAAATATACGGATTGGCTGTACAAACGAAACCGCAAGTGTGTCGTTTTCAGATTGATCCACTTTGGGACCCGGTTTCAAAAAAAAAAAAAGCGGTTTCACTCTCCCCAAACGCCGGATCCGTGTGGACGAAACGCCAATATGATAAAAATGTATCCGTAAACAGTGAAACGCGTCTTCATGTGGATGGGCTCTAAGTATAATTTTTTGTGTTCCTATGTAGTTCTGGGGGTTTACTGGACAAAAAGATCCCCATCATAAGTCTCTATGATATTCAGGTCCTCCTTCAATGTTAATAATATTAGTGATTTTTTAATAATATTTTATTACTTACCGGGCACAAATCATAAGTCTAATCGCTTTGAAATATAATAGCACACTTCTCAATATTCCTCATCATTCATATTTGCAGGACAAACTGCGCTGAATATTACTACAGTACTTAGATATGCGGTTACTAATGGTATTTTGTGTGGTATTACAGTGGAAACGATGGTTATTATGGTACATTTTGTAAATTTAAATGAGAAATTGTTTAACCTACCTCCATCATATCTATCAGCCAGAGCAGTCTTTCCTGTTTTATTGAGAGGGATAGGGAATTGGGTGTTAAACTGTTCCTGCGATTTACACTGGGAGTCAGCAGGCTTAAAAGTCCGTCACAAAACACTTCTCCATCTGTCACACCAAAACCCCCGAGACAAGTACAAATCTAAACAGCTGCACTTTCACAACGAGACACAGATGAGTTGAGGTGAGACATGCCAAGACAGAGTGAGACAGGAGGACAGACAGGTTTCGAGCGACGGGCATAAAAGCCTCCAACAGAAAGGACAAAAGCTATTTCCCACAGCAACTTTAAAGGCCTTTATCTTGTATCCTTGTAATCTGCACACAACTTCTTTGTGCCCAAATTGCCCAGCAATCTTGTGAACAGCTTTTTATGTCTATGTCACACGCATAGACACACAAAACTACAATGCCTTCCACTCATCCAACACAAATACAGACCCAGAGCCTTAAACACTTATTGATTATAGATTATAGATAGGCCTACAGACACTGGGTCTTATTCAATATTAATTGCGGCACAAGTGTTCCTGCTTTATGTGTGAAGAAAGTTGGTAATCTCAATGTAAATGTGGATGCCTGCTCTCTTACCCGTGCAGAGCTGAGAGTGGTGTTGGTCATGAAGCTGGCTGAGGAGGAGGCCAGCGTATCAGGGTACGAGACCATGGAGAAGGAGTCCTGAAATCCAGCTCCACCCCCTTGCCTTGCCTTCAGGGCTTCGATCTCTCGTTTCAGAACCAGACCGTCAAATCTCTCCACATCCTGAGGGGTCACGAGTCCCCTCACCTCGGACAGCAGAGAGAACTGCAAATACACACACGTACAGAGCTGTGAATGTGACCGGGCTCTTGTTGATTGTTTTAATCTCAGGGGTTTTACTATATTCATAAATGTGAATGTAATATGAGGTTATACTTGCTGTAAATCACCAGACAATGATGGCCCATAATACTGATAATGTCAGTATTATGCACTTTATTAATAATAATTCATTCAGCCAATAAAAGTCTTTAATAAAAAAAGATTGCATATTAAATAAAAAAAAAATGGAAGTAGATACGCACTCTTTCAAAATTTGGGGTCTTTTATTTGATCAAAAATATGGTAAAAACATAAGTATTGTAATGCATTATTACAATTTAACATAATTATTTTCTGTTATGATATATTTTAATGTATGCCATTTATTTCTGTGATGGCAAAGTGGAGTTTTCAGCATCATTACTTAGTCTTCTGCCACAAGATCAAATAATTCTAATATGCTGATTTAGTGCTCATGAAACACTAATTGTTATTATCATTATCAATTCTAAAATTATCAACAAATACATTTTTATCGTTATTCTTATTCTGATGAATAAAAAGTTCAAAAGAACATCATTTACTTCAAGTAGAGATCATCTGTACCATTACAAAAGTCTTTACTTTCACTTTTAATCAATTTAACGCACCCTTGCTAAAACAAGGTATTAATTAAAAATAAAAAAATACTGAAAATTCAAAAATATTTAAATGGAGGTGTACCTATCTACGTATATAACATAGGCCTAATTAATTATTATTTTTTACTGCCAACGTTTAAAAAAAATACTATACATTTTGTTATATGTATAGCATATATATATATAATTTTGTTTTTAAAATACCATATTATTGTAAAAAAAATACTATACATTTTGTTATATTTATATAATATCATATTATTGCAAAAATACTATACATTTTGCAATAATATGGTATTATTTATATATATATATATATATAAATGTATAGTATAATACCATATTATTGTAAAAGTGTTTTTAAAAATAATTAAAACAAAAGTAAATTAAGTTAATATGTTTTAATATGCTAAAATACTTACATTTTTTAAATTCTACTAAATCACTAATAATAGTGATAAAAGATGGTTCTAAAAATTAAGTCAAGAGCAAAATTGAAAAATTATAATCAATTATTATGAATAGTCAGAACAAGATCACATGTATTTTGATGAGCATGGTGCCAAGCGCTCTATTCCCAGTGAATGCATTAACCGATAAAAATATACAGTATCGGCTACCTTAAACACTATGCAAGTCATTTTGGATGAAATTGTCTGCCAAATACAGAAATGTAAAAGTAAAAGTAAATGTCCACCTTGGCATGTGTATTGAAGAGCTCAAAGAGGGCCATGACGAGCTGCTCAACACCGATGTGTCCATCACGGTACTCTTGGATGTAGTAACCCATAGTCTGCCTCTCTGGTTCGGTCAGCAGATGCCTCGCCTGTTCCTCCAGCATAGCCCTGCTCTGGTTCACCAAACTCGACAGAGTCACCTGAGATCCCGCCACACCTTTATAAAAGCCACCCTGAGGAGAGGGAAAGTGAAAAGTGTGAAAAGAAGAAATGCAAATATTTTAAGAGCAGACTAACATTAATATTAATATTTAAACTTCAGACACCTGTCTCAAAGCAAACACTTTAAATCTTCCATCTTTCTTTTTTAAATGAGAACATGACTTTGCTACTACCATAAATCACATCTCCATAATGGAGAGTGACTAGTGCAGTCTTTAACCCACCTCCCTATTTTTTCTCTCTCTCAGGTTTCAGCCTCTCTTCTCGAGAGCAGCTTTCCCTTTAATTAGTCTCCTAATCAAAAAGCACAACTCCAGAGTCAACATGATCATCGATCTGTGTTACACTCAGCTAAGGAATGGCATGCTCTCCAGCCAAAGGATGCAATCACAAAACTTTTGCAAACCAATCTGAAAAACTAGCTAACTAAATTAACTTGCTCACTACATAGGCTACTTACCTATTCAGGATTGCACAGACCAGTTAATTAATTTGATGTTAATTTTGGGTCAATTAGAGGTGTATCCCATGCCTTGAATTCATTTGATCTAGTTGTCTGCTTGAACAGTCTATTGACGGTCTTGTTGGCTGTCTGGTTTGCAGATGCAGTCGAGCAGCGCTAGTATCTATGTTATCAAACCGTCTAAAGCCACAAGGATTCTGGAAGATGGATCAATACAGACAGAAACAATGGGTGAGGTGAGTGAATGCTGACCATGCCTGAACTATTCTTGCCCTTATTCTTTTCTTTCTCTTTAGAACAATGCGTGAGCTCGATGAGCTTAAATGAGCTCTTTTGTAGAGCACTCCAACAGGAACTAATGCATTTACTCCCAGACCGGTTTTGACCATGAAGCTAATGTCCTATACTGGACATTGAGGAATGGCTAGTCTAGAAAGTTGCTTGCAAACGCAAGGAAGAGATAGAAAAAGAATAAGATTAAGAACAAAATTGGCAAAGTGAACAAATAAAATTATTAAATCTAATTGGTTTTTTAGAAAGTTCCACAATGCACTTGGCTAAATAAAAAAATGAAATAAAAAAATAATAATAATATGCTGTCCTGACCTAATATATTACTGTCACCAGAGCGAGAGTCCAAGAGAGTAACTTAAAAGACTATGATGTATGTGATCCATTTACTTTATTTCCTTTTTCTCTTCGTTTTATTCTGAAAATCCATGGATTTCAGATAGATTCCCTCAGTTAGAAACTCTTGAGGTTACTTTACATTTAAACTCAAATTCATCCTCACCTGGAGTACACACTGTTTCTGATACACTCTTTAAACTTATTTCTGCAGCCGAGATAAATCATGAGCCCTCAGCGTTCAGTGTTGGAGTGGAACTACCTAGAAGTGATGCAACTAACTTTACTAAATCTTTATTTTTTCATATTACCAGTATATATACAAAGTATAGATACAGGGCGATACAATTTTTAATATTTTTTAAATAATTCTCTTATGATCACCAAGGCTGCATTTGTTTCTTCTTTTTTAAAGAGTAAAACTGTAATATTCTTACAATTTAAAATGTAATTGATTTCCATTACACGAGAGTAGATGTTAAAACTTCACGCAGATTTGTACTCGGCTTTTGCCAAGATAAGCACAAACTAAGACGTAGCTTTACAGTAAACTATGCTTCTCCATCCATTTACGCTTATTTCCAAATGGTGATGTGTCTGTCCTTCTGTCCGGCGTTAATGGCTGCAGTGTACTTGGCGCGTCAGTACACACAACAACTGCAACTACAGTGTGTTCTCCCCAGTGGACCAGCTCGACAACCGTCTGGATTGAGCCGAGTAGAGGACATCTCTAGGGTCTTCAAGTGGGCACCTTCCGTCCTCAGCGTTTCATCGACTAGCCCACGACCCCTCAAGAGGGCTCGACAGTGACTCTGGCGTCCCAGAGTCACCCCCCTCCGTCCCCCACTCAACTCATCCCACCATACTGACCTTTACATCCCTCCTGCTGCTGTGGTTTCTCCTTCCTCGTAGCTCCCATGTGACCTAACCACTATCTCACAATCATTCCGCAACCCAACGATATGCGCCAAACCGTTTGACTAAGGCTGTCGAGCCCCACTGTCTTCGTTAAAGTGGCAATGGTTTCGTATGGCATACTACCTACCGCAAAACACAATATCTGCCCAAACACCAACCCTCATTCATGCAATATACACATAACTATTATGCAAACTATACGACGGAACTAACAAACTCTTTGAATTTTTCATGAATTCAACAAAACTGTACTGTAAACAGCCAGCCAGAATATATTGTCTCAACCACAGCCAGTTGCTGCTCCTCTCTGCTACTTCAGATAAGTTCTCGTGACTTGTGACGCAATTCATTCTTTACTGTGCGACGCAATTCATTCCTGTGATGAATTTCAGCATCATTACACCAGTCTTCAGTGTCACATGATCCATCATAAATTATTCTAATATGCTGATTTTGTGTTAAAGAGACATTTCTTATGATTATCAATGTTGAAAATATTTGTTCTGGTTAATAATTTTTGTGGGAACTGTAATGTCTTTTTCGGCGTTCTTTGTTGAATAGAAAGTTCAAAAGGACAAGATTTTATTGTTTTTTTTTATGTGTGTAAATTCTTGCGACCAATTTCATAAAAAAAACAAAACTTTTGAACAGTAGTTTATATATCCATACCACTTGCTCAGATGAGAAAATAAGTGCCTGTGCAGTTTGATGATGAGAGGTTCAAAAGCTTTTTCCTCCAGAGACTTCTGGGATACTAGCATCACTGTTCAATTACAAAAAAAAAGCTAAGGTTGAGTAGAATATCTCTAACAAAAGATGATCAATAAAACTAGCAAGAGAAAAATGTGTCTTTATAATTCTTTAAGTATGATAGCGACCGAGACGGGATCGATCATGCGGCATCTCTGGTGTTACAACCTCCATGAATACCCATTATGACATCACTCGACTGACAGCATCTTTAATCACGGGAACACATAATTGCTGATCAATATCATAACTTTAAGACAGCACAATCAGGACAAAAAAGTATTGTCTGCTGAAACTTTGCAGCACTGTGTGACAGAAACTCCAGCCTTGTCCCCACACATCACACCCCACTGAATTTGAATAGGGCCTGAATGATATAATTTAGGCCCACATTAAGCTTTATCTTAAATGAACTGGAGATAAAAAAGGGCAGAAAGGCACTTTCTCTTAAATTAAATAGACCACAAATATAAAAATGAGAAAATAAAGTGTCATAGGGGATGTCCTTGCAGTGATTGAATAACATGAAGGTCAGGGAAGCTCAGTAAAGATGGGGCCAGGAAGAAATCGTGTCAATAATATATAATAATCGATACAACTGCAGAAAGACAGACAGACAGACAGAAAGACAGACAGACAGACAGACAGACAGATAGATAGATAGATATATAGCTAGATTGACATTCCTATATTGCACCCACGCAAAACAATCGGCGCAAACAATCCCTGGTGCTATTTTGCACTTCCAGAAAACAATTGCGCCACTGACCAGAAAAAAACTGGTCTAAAGTCAGTGGCGTGTTGAGTGTTGTTCATAATGCTATTTTAAGCACGCATGCTTGGCCATAATGTAGCGGGTACATAACGCACATAAACTTTGATTCTCTCATCTACACAGATGCATCAGTTTTTATTTTTGCAAATCATACATTATAACAAGTAAAAATATTAACACATGAGGGAAATCATTGTGGTTTCCAAAAAAATGTGGGCCTAAATACACATTTACCCAATTTTTTCAGGCTTATTTGTAGTACTGATGGATCAAATCTATATTTGCCCAATAGTGGCAAGAAACATACTGTATGTATATAATGCTTAACCGACACTGATTTGGGTGGTTTCTCCCATCCCCATACAGCGTCCTTTCTCTGTCTTTTACGGCCCTGACGAGAACGTCGGTCTCCTCGGCTGTGAACCGCTCATGGCGCGCACCTGGTAAACCCGCTATAATAATAACAATCTGCCATGCAACATGCGCACCTGCTCTTAAAGGGTATGTTGGATGACGCTCTGATTGGTTTATTTCACGTTACGCCCAAACCACACCTATGAATAATGAGGCTAATTCAGACCAACCCTTTTTAAACTTGCGTCGGGCGCAAGAGTCATTTATCCCGCCAGTAAAATAGCAACAGCGCCCAAGATCCACCTAGAAAGCGTTTCAGATTGTTAAAATAGGGCCCAATGTCATGTCCATTTAGGGTTTATGGCATTGTGTTTTAAAGTCATTCTGGTCCATAAAAATGAAGCAAACCAAATTAATTTCACTCATCCTGTCACATTACCTCTAATTACTAAAAGCATAAGGCCATTGAGCAATAAATTAAATAATTAGATGATCAAGATGAGCATCACCTTGGTTAGACGTTAATTAAAATGACAAATGTTTGGGTTCGGGAGCTGCTGTCGGTTACAGCTTTATGCGTCACATTATCAGAATTTTAATATGCTAACTGACAATATGGGGAGAATGACTAAGCTTTTCAACAAGGCACAAGATCTCAGTTCTCACCGTTCCAGCCTGACTACGGCCCATGTCGAAACTGGAGCTTCATTTCCTCCCTCTTAAACTACATTAAGTCCTGCGCTTGGAAGAGCACGTCTCTCCCAAAGAGATGATAGATTTTTACAGCTCTTTTTAGAACAGTGGCTGAGAGGAGAAGTCAATAGATGTCCTAAAGGGACACCGGAGATAAGCTCTTTGAGATAAGCAATCTTTCTTATATATAGACCAAACCAAACATAAAAACAACCCATGAGTGCGGCTGTCAATAGAAGTTTTCAAACAAATCTCAAAATAGTGACAGTGTTGAAGATGGAGGGAAAATTCTGTAAAGTTCTACAGCCATTAGAACAATCATTCTTGTTTAAGTTAAAAAAATATTTATATAATAATTAAAATATAGGAACAAGGAATATTATTGTGGCAAGGACAGCTAGGCAGAGTGCTAATGAGTGACACCTGCGTGC